TTCGACAAGGGTGAAAGATTTATTCAAAACCTATATCTTACATAAATGCAATGATCATTTAAAAGCTGCATTTTGTGTTTACTCTTGTCTTTGTCTTATATTAAAATTAGTTGAATAATCTGAAACATTTAAGTGTGACAAATTAGCAAAAATAGAAGAAATCAGGTGGGGTAAATACTTTTTCACGGCACTGTATAGACATCTGGAAGCTGAGAACTTTTACACCTTAGGCTTGACTATAAAAGTATTCTTAAATTAGAGCCAGACTGTTGCATCTTTTTGTTTGTTTTTCCAGGGTGGCACATTCACAGTCTCCAACCTGGGCATGTATGGCATAAAGAACTTCTCAGCCATCATCAATCCTCCTCAGGCCTGCATCCTGGCAGTGGGGGGCTCAGAGAAGAGGCTGCTGCCTGCAGACAATGAGAGAGGGTGAGAACTTCAGTGTCTTGGAATGCTGTCAAAAGACAGAAATATAGTATCATATCAGCTTTGTGGCTGATGTAAGACTACTGCAGTAAAAGAAAAAAAAAATTGGAAATTGTGGTCGGAGCAAGTGCTTGAGTGTCTGCCTCGAATAATCAGGTATAAGTACTTTTTTGGACATGGCTAAATGTAAACAAAGCTATAGGCTACACTTATTCTACATTTTTCACAGAATGCAAGATTTAAGACAACAAAAACAAATCAGGATTTATTTACTAATTAAGGTGTGTGATGTGTCATTGCATAGTGCATGAAATTTGCGTAATCAGAAATCTCTTAGAAGTGATGGGCTTGTAGAGAAATGTATGTAGGAAAGCCATTTAAACGCACGTAACTGGAGATGTGGTCCTAATGCTATTCGTATATTATATTATCTATTATTATTTTAATGGGCATATGTTCTTTGTATTTAATGATGCTTTTTTTCATAGGTTTGATGTAGCCAATATGATGTCCGTAACCCTTAGCTGTGATCACCGGGTGGTGGACGGAGCAGTAGGGGCTCAGTGGCTGGCCGAGTTCCGCAAGTTCCTGGAAAAACCCATCACTATGCTGCTTTGAGCGGGGAGCAGACCCTGCCCCTCAGTCCAAAATACCAGAACTTTCAGATAGATCTGAGGAAGTCTCTTGCAAATGTTAAACACTCAGAATTACAGGTTCTTTTCTCCCCTCTTGTCTTCACTCTTAACTTTCACTGTAAACACCCTTGGGTACTGTATTTATGCAGCTTTAACATGTCAGAGCCTGAAATAATTTCTCAACCCACGATAGTGTGTTGCTGTTAGGTCAATTTGTATAGTTTGACTGTAGATGGAATTGTTGGATGAGGGTTTTGTTTTCTGCCAGGTATCGCCACAAGTTGGTGCACGTCATTCATTCAAGGGGTTGAAAACTGTCCGAGTCCACCAGTTCTTTTCACCAAGCTTTTACCCCTTGTTGTGGTCTCAATATGTCTCAGTTATTTGGTACACTGGGAGATGTTTTGGCACAGAGAGAGGATGTGCTGTACGTTCCCAAGGAAGACATAGTAAAATAATGAAATACTCCATCTCGGGATGGCAGTGCCAAAGGAACTTATCAGCGGTATGTCTCTACCAGGTTAAAGGTTTTTAAAAATAACTTTGTACCTGCTGTTCACACACAGACCTTTTTCAAACCATAAATGATGTTTCACTGCCTGAGTTGTACATACATGCAGCAGTTTCTTCTCTGGGCCATCTGGTGACCCTGTATAAAATGACCTTATTTGAACGTTTGAGCGTTTATTTATTACATCTTTTACTCCAGACAAAGCATGGTAATGCCTTTGTTCTGTGTTCTTATTTCTAGCATTTATTTTTCCTTTTTTTTAAATGTGGAAATATTTTCAAATCTATATTTCTGTATTAAATACGCACAAACATGCAGAACTGAGCACCCTGCAACATAAATAAACAAAACTAGGTCCCTAAACTGAACTGAAACTTTGAACTGAAATGATGGCCTACATATTTATGACGTTCTCAGAGATAAGAACATTTTGTTCAGGGCGTTGTGGCCAGTCAGGCAGTGTTTCCAAATCAGTGGTTAAAACTAAAGCCAAAAAGGAAGTCAGATATGCACTATTATTATTAAGGGAAAATACACAACCATTATGAGAGAATAAACAGGAAATAAAAACTGTTTTCCCATTTAAAACTTCTCTTTGGATACACCAAAAGCTAAATTTGTATAGTTTTTGCTGGAAAGTATGATTTTTTTTTAGCTGCATCTTGGATTTTCTTTTTAGTACCTCTAAATATTAAGAAATACTCATGACTCTTGTGGTTATAATGTTTCTGTGGGTAAATCTTTGATTTGTCCAAAGATCACACAACAGCATCCATTATTGGCAACTTGAATCTGTACATTAAAATGAGATATTAATACCAGTAATAAACCCCTTTATATGATGTTCTCACCTTTTACAGATCAGGCTTGTTTTTAGTTGATGGCTGCTGATGGTGGAAGTGGATGTGGCTGAATTGTATGTGTTAGAGAGGAGTAACCCATATATTACTCTTCAGATCTTTGCTACACCCGCAGAACCAAAGGTACGAAACTGTCACTGGGGCAGTATCTCAGTACCTTAAGTCAGGGAACATAACTACCATAATCCTTTGAAATTATATTTTCTAAGTGGCATTGACTCTATGCACTTTGTCTCGTCTCCAGGCTTTTCATTTTATTGTTCTGTTTTAAAACATTAGGTTATCAAAAGATACAAATTTATACTTTTACACTGGGAAAAACTTACTTAAGGTACATAACTGGACCTTTTACATTGTACATTTGTACCTTGGTGAATGAAAAATGTACAGTTTCACAAATGTATCTAATTTATGCTTGAGAAGCTCCTAATTTGACCTGAATGTCTTGTCATTTGAAGCTTTATGCCAGCAGTGTTGAATCAGAAAAGAAATCTCATTCTGAACTCGTCATGTGTACGAAGAGATGAGTTTAGCTTCCAGTAACACTCTCTAGTAGTAGCATACAAATTAGTAGATGAGTTTAAGAAAATAGATTTATGATCTTTTAAAGGGGTTGTGAGGATCCTGCCTTGAACATTGAAATCTACCACGATATGAGACGAGCTAATCAATACGGGGAAGTCTTGAGTGGTCTTTGTTACCCCAAGGGGTAAGACTGTATATTTGGAAACTGTCCCCTCCAATTATAAGTTAGATGAAAGATTACTGTCAACATTTTCAGTTTTGAGGTGATAAAAGGAGGTTGCTTACAAGGGAAGCCTGTCAGTGATGTTATCAGGAACCAAGGTTAAGTCCCCATCAATAAAGATCAGAGCACGCCTAAACTCCCTATGATGCTTTGCTACTGCTTAGCCGGGCTGTATTTAGTTAAAAAAAAACAAAAAACGGTATGTACCGTGTTCAGGAAATGTTTTGTCATGGTAGTTTTGGGTACGCTAGCACTTATTACCACAAGCTGGTTCTCATGATGTAAATTATTACATTTTAATGTGAGGGTAAGATCAGAGTTAGGGTTAGGCTAGTGGTAGTTCTGGTTTGGGTAGGTCTCAAGAAATGAATGAAAGTCGACGTAATGACCCCACAATTCACAGAAACGGGTGTGTGCGTGCGAAGACAAAGTGAGAGAGGAAGAGATGTGTTGAGCAAGAGAGACATTTTCTTGTACGCTGGCTGCCTAAGTCAATTCTAAGTAAAGCCTGGCTAAGACGAATTTCGAGTTGTCCAAGGTCCTCTTTTTACCGTCCCCACCGCTTAACTGTGGCGTCCACTACGGGCTCTGCGCTTCAAGGGGAGACCGGGGGGCGTGACATGCAAGTTGTGCTTGCACGCTCCTCCCCCTACCCTTAAAGGACATTGGTTGCTGTTATTGATGTTGCTGTTTGTTTGTTTGAGATGTGTTTGCATGTTGGCTGTGCTTTATCATGCTCTGTTGTGGGTTATTTAGTGTGGTTGTACTGTTTATTGTTAGTGGATGTTCTGTGGCTAGTGGTGACCTTCCCCGCTATTTGTCCGCAGATGCAGTGGCCTTTTCTGCTTTGTTCAATAAAGGATTTTACTTAAGTAGAAAAAATGTATCCTCTGCTTCTTTTTCCGCGCGACGCTACAGTATTAAGCTGATACAGAATTTTATATTTATGTGTTCAAACAGCCACACATTTTCATGAATTGTAATCATAAATGTATATTAGTACCACTGTGACTCGATTGCGAGAAACTACTAATAACAGAAAGTGCTAATTATATGGATACTTATACTGGTGTAACTGCTCCAGCAAACCATATTTTTCAAAATCATAACACCAGCAGAGCCATCGAAAAATCGCTACCCCACTGAGATTTTCAAAAGGTCTTAACAGCTGCATTGGAGTGGGGGTCCTGAACAAAACAAAAGTCAGTTTTGTGTAACATGTACAGTCCGTTCTGTTTAACAGGACTTCTTAAAGTCCCTGTCCTGAGCTGAACGTCCCTCTCAGAGTTTTTCTGTGCTCGGTCAGAATTCTACGCTGAACCGAATCGATTCCTCGAGTCCGGGAATTCGGGAATCGAGTCGAGTACAAAGCTTTGGATTTGATTCACGGTTAAGTTTGCTCACACTTGCGTGCCCAGAGAATGTGAGACATTATGCGGTCACTGTCTGTTTGAAAAATACATCCTTCCACTCACACATTAATAGCCCAGCTGTATTTCACTTTAAACAAAAAATTTTAACGAAACACTGCCAGTGCAAAAACATCTCCCCGCCTGAAGGAGTTGACCGAGGAGGATCAGGTACTGTTTAGGAAGTGCCCGTTAGTCAGATAAGTTAATTCTGCTACCGTTAATTTTCCAAACGTCTTTGCTTAGGTCAATTATAAATAATACAGTAACGTTACTCTTTATTTTTGCCTTCTCTGGGTCTTGGAGATTATTGTGTTGAATCGACTCCGACGGTTACTGAATTAGAACGGTCCGGAAATTACGTCTCTGTTAAAGGACGTTACGCCAAGGAGTTTTCCCGCGGTTTGAGGCTGAGGTGGTAAGCAGTGGATTGTATAGGTGGTCCAGGGGAGACTCCTATTCACTAAGTACACTCCATGTCCTAACATTTTATGACACTTAGCCGTTGGTTTTAGTCAAAGTGAAGCCGAATCCTGCAGCGGCTTAGTTGTAGTTTCTTTTTAAATCTCACTCCTGACGAACACGAAGTGTGTTTTATTAGCAATGCCTCCCAAAAGGCGCACCGCCGGGACCCCGAGCAGGGAGCAGAAGTCCGGCAGCAGGAAGAGCTCCTCTCCGGACACTAAGCACAGCAACGTTGTCACCCCAGAAAAGTAAGAGTTCTGCTGCTCTTCCGACATCAGCCCGTTCCCTGGTCTAAATAAGTCATCTTTAGGGCTCAGAGCGCCTGTCTGCCCGCTATCTTCCTTTTAAGAGTCTCGGCTGATTTGGCTAACTGGCTAGCTAGCTAACTCTAGCTAACAAACAAACAGAGATGTTCAGTTAGCTTGCTGGCTAACCGTGTTCCTTTGTTTTTCCATAATATCTCGTAATAACAACAGATAGCTAAGAACTCTGAACATGAAAGTCGCCAGTTTTGTGGATGTCATGCTATCCTGGATAGCCGAATAAGTATGTTTATGTAAGCGACAGACACAGCTACACATATAACTCTTATGTATCTTTATTGGAGCGATTGGTGTCAGTCTTTAGCTACTGTAGGTTAACTAGGTTAGCAAGTACTTTTGCAATCATAAAAGTTAAAGAGAGCGACTCTCACACAGCCTGAAAGTAATTTGATTTGAATCAGACGTTCTTTTGCAGTTTCTGTACTGTAATATTTTGATTTGTTTTCCTACATAGTTCGGTATTTGTTTAAACAAACAGGATTTAACGCTCCTCGTCACTTACTCTTAGCTTGACTGAGACAGTTGGATTGATACAGTGGGATAATGTTGAAAATGCTTGGTCAGTAACCCAAAGAAGCTGGTAGATCACATGTTCGGTAACAAATTAAAGTACTGACAATACCTGCTAATTCTAAAAACAAAGAACAGGCACAGACTTTATAATAGCTGTGTCCGAAAGGGCCCCCTAATCACTGTACTCTACATTTGAAAATCCGGAGCACTGTATAGAGCAGTTACAGGGAACAGGATTCGTGATGGTAGTAAACGGTTTTGGACACCATTTCATACGGGTTTGCTCGTTACGGTGTGACAGTATATTTCATCCCAACACTATAAACTTAGGTGACCAGATTTCTGAAAAGAAAACTAGGACATTTCCAGTTTGACCATCAATATGTCATTCAAATATCCAATGTTTTTGTTTTATTAAATAAAAATGGAGGGGCAGTTCCAGTTTCATGTATTTTGACAGTAGAAACTGTTGTACTGTGATAAACTATAGTAAATGCTGACTGATAAAATCAGGCATTAACTAAATAACTTTGTAAACTGTGTCAGAAAATCATAGAGTAGCCTTCCACGGTAAGCGAAGCTATGGTAAACTAGGCAACTATGACATTTGTTAGCTTCTGGTCGAGTTTTACACAGCAGTATTCTCTAAAACTAGGTGAGCAGGTCATTAGTAGATATCAGCAGCCAGCCTCCTTTATTGGCCAAAACAACCACAACGTGAGATGTCTGCTCTGCTGCTTAAAGGACGTCTGATCGCCCTACTGTAAACATCATGCCACCAGTCCAGTATAACTGCTGAGTTTGACTGCACACATGAGAAGAGCTTACTTACATCTGTAACAGGTCTGAAGAGAGGTCTGTGGAGACTCTGACATTGTAAGTGGGCTTGGTAGTTGTACTCAGAGACGCTGCGTGTAAATCTTCAAACCAAACCACGCAGTGCATTATGGGTATCCTCTATCAGCTAGGGTACATCAGTTGTGCACTACTTGTTGTGGTGCATCGTGGGATTGTTTAAGTGCACTGATTCTTCTGCACTATGTTTTCAGACACCACTACAAATAACGCAGAGCCGCAAAATAGTGCACCCTATAATAAATAGAACACAGTTTCAGAGACAGCTTTGGAGTTATGCCTTTATTGTCATGACGTTTTTTCTTTTTTTGGGACTTTGGATATCAGTCAAATGCATGTATTTATATTCAGCACATATAGAACATCATCTGTGTCTAACATTTGTAACAATCCCCAATGCTAAACTCACTGTGAGCTGGAAATTATAATGCATTTTGCTTCCATATCAAGATGCATTTCTGAGCAAAACACGGTATCCGGGAAGATCTCTGAGCTAAGCATTTACGCTCAACCATAGGTTGGAGGAGGAGGTGAAACATGGTATTGGTTGTTAATATTATTTTTTCCCCCGTTGGTGCATGTTTATGTAATCAGAACTCTGTAAGAGTGTTTTAAATGAAAGATTATAAGAAAATAATCATTTTGTCTTTTAAATATGATAAATCATACTTAATATGACCAAAACACAAACTAACAAGGTTAAAAATGCAATTTTGATTTCAGGTTTAAGACTTTAAGGTGAACTTTTTCTGATCACCCTAACAGTTGCAGATATCTAACACGAATTGTCCAGTTACAGTTCACACTAATATTTGAATTTGTACTGTATATTTTTTGTCAGGCATGAAGAGAAGGATCTTGAGTTCATAACCCTCTGTAAGGACCTCTTGGTGACCAACTTGGTGTGTGATAATGCATGGGCAATTTGGGAGTCGGTCGCAAAGTCAGCAGAGAATGTAAATGTATGTTTTCATCTGATTTTTGAAATGAACTCATAAGTGGTATTTATATAATCTATTTCCATGTAGCTTTGCATCATTGGTGTATATACAGTCATCACAGTTTGTCTGTCTGTGTGTTTGTGTAACTCATTTCTTTGATGCAGGGCTCAAACAAGCCACTTTGGGGAGCATGCATATTCATTTCAGCAGTGGACATGGAAGACATGTGCTTTACCTTTACAGAACTTCAGAAGGCGGTTGGTCTGAGGTAAGTCCTTAAGATTCAGAGCATGTTTAGAGTTATTAGCTAGCTACAGAGTAGCATTGATGCCATCTATCAGCTGAGTGAAGGAACTGGAGACACAGTACTATGCAAAAGTCTTCTTACTGTGGCATCTGAGAAAAGCATATGTAAGGCTATTTATCTGAAAATTAAATGTTTATTTGTTCAAAAAACAGCAACATTAGAATGAACACAAATAAACAAGTAAATCATACATTTTGATTTGATGAGTCAGTGTTAGCTCAACCAGTTCCAAATCTCTCCTCAAGAAAGCCCAAAATTTACAGTTACCACCCGATACCTAGTTTGTGTAATCAATCTATCATTAAATTCAATCATCTTCTGCTGATGGAATTTAAGAAATCCATGCATAGTTCATTCCATTGTTCACCAAGCAGTCAGGGCCTGTACTTGTAGCTATGTTAACAAAGATATGAATAATATTAATGAAGTAATAAAACTTACCAAAAACAGAAAATTCTTTTTACATTTTGCTGTATTTACGTTTGTGTTCATTCTAATGTTATAATGTTCTCCTGTTAAACACACATACAGTGATAACTCATGCTGTTTACAAACACCATTATAATTTGCACCCCAGACCTGGTTTATCTGAACATACTGTACATTTCCAGTTAATACACACTATAAACACCTAAGCTATAAATCGCACAAGACTACATATTTATTACAGTTTATTTATTCTAGTACAGTAACTATAGTTTGCACTTTAAATTCTACCTCTGCCTTCTGACCCACAGTTACAGTTCATGCTTATAGTTGTATACAATTTTTATGTACCTGTTGTCTTTGAGCTTTTGTCTATTGTCTTGGCACTATTGTCTTTTTTATCTATATTTTAATCACTGCACAGAGACGTAGCCAGTGTTCCGTTGTACTGTACAACCCTGTATTGGTGTAATGACAAAATTGAAATGAATTGAATTAAACAAATAGTACTGTTAGACAGAACTCTGTGTGATAGCCTTTATAATGAATGGACAGAGCACTAGATACATGTATTGAATTATAAATACAGTTTTTATAATTTTTTTTCTTTGGCATATGATATTGTCATTATATCAACTTTGAGTGACCACAGAAAGTCACTGTTAACAAGTGTTATTTATAATTTTGATCTTATTTCATTATTCATGTTCCAAAAAAATGGTAATAGATTCATTGCTTCTGGTTGATTTGCTTTTATTGTTCTTTTTAATGTATTACTCATAACTGAATGCTGGTTATATGAAGTTCTGAATGTCACTGTTTGCAGTGATTACATTTTATAGTTAAAATACAATATATTAATACATGTCATTATTTTAATGATGGATAAAACAGCTTTTTTTTTTTTTTTAAAAGCATTTTTGTTTGTACGGCATGTTGTGGTTGCACAAAAAACCCTGTATTAAACTGGATACCATTGATGTGTGATTCAATTGCAGTGTGAAACAGTTCTTTAACCTAGTGAGGAAGATGGATGAGAATGTGGACACCATAAGCCCTAAAGTGAACTCTGCTGTCACAAAACTTGAGAAGAAGTATGAGGTGTCACTGGCACTCTATCAGCGATTTGTGAAGTAAGGCCTTTTGTGTGTGATTTTAAAACACTCGCTAAATATGAGATTAATAAGACTTGCCGTGAATTAATGTTGATATTTTTGGAAAACTAGGAGCTTTTTCGCACCATGGTGTATTTATGTCACATGATACAAGTTTGTGAGCTTGCAGGCAGTTTTACCGTGTCATGCCCTATATCTGTATTGAAATTAAAAACTTGGATGTACACGGATACTCAACTACTTTGTTAACTGTTCAAGGTTCCAGGATTCAAATACTGAAATCACAAGATGGTGAAAAATGCCAAGTTTATTCTAAGACAACTGTAAAATGTGTTTTTTTTATTATTATTATTATTTTTTTATTTGCTTGAATTTGCGAGAAAGACTGTTATACTTTACTTCTTTGAAACTTGAGCAACCCAACAAAGGCACACTGCCAAGTACCTGTTATTAAAGTTTCAATATCTTAGAGAACTGAATTTTGCCCCTTTTTAGAAAAGGTGTTTGATGTAAACATTGGTAAAGCTTTAAAATGTACCATTTACTCCCTATTCCATACGATCCATCTATGAAAACTAATATTTTAAAACCCATTTTGAGTTCATTATTTTTTTTGGATATTATGAAAACCAGAACATTTTTTTTGAATGAGACACAATACAGGGCAGCCAACTAGAACAGAGCTCATTTACATGTATAAGTCTTAAAGGCACGGCAGCACCATAAGTGAACCTCAGAGGAATAAAATAAAATGTAAGAAAAATATAGGATATGGGCCCTTTAAGAATGTGATTGCGAAGGTAGAGAATTGCTGCCTTCAGGTCCTTTTTGGAAGTTCATGCTTACGATTTTGGAGGTCATAAGTACGGCATGTGTGTTTAAGTGGTTTTGGTCAGAAACAAATAGGAATGGCAATCATGCCTTTTGTATGCTTTTGTTTTTATCAAAGAGAGTAAGTTTATTTCGTAGTACTGCAATAAAAGAAATGTGCATTAGATTAGAAATGTTTTTGTCCATTTAGAAGCATCACATAGCGTATGCTCATCTTATTGTGTGTGTGTGTGTGTGTGGATTAAGATGTTAAAACTGTAGGTTTTAGCCTGCAGTGTTCATTTGTGGCATTTGTGGCTGAATAACACAGTTTAGAAAACAGCTATTAGTAGCTACATTTGAATGTTTTTACTGGCCTGCCCTAACTCTGAAACTTTGAGCTCATCAAAAAAAAAATGAGCCCATCAAAAAATGAGCATTTCCCACTAGTAATTGCGTCATTGTGGTGGCATCGTGTGGTATTTCTGATGCAACTTGAAAGTAGCAGTACTATGGCTTTTAGTGCTAAACAGGCTAGGCTGCTGTTACTTTCAGGAACAATTAAATAATTTTTTCTGACAAACATGTTAGTGCAAACACCTGTATAAACTCATCAGCATCCAGTGCTGTATGAAATAGCTGTTGTTTTAGCTCATTCTCCATTTTGATAACATATTTTGAAATGTACTCCTTTCTGTGATTCTATACTTTTGTGCAACATGTATTAAATAATGTACTTAACTGCAGCTGTCACACTCATCTATTTGCTTATAGCCCTTGCTCTCTGCTGTATGCACATTCATAACAAATGTGAAATGCACACGAAGTGTGGTTTGGACCTGCAGCGCTTTACAGTTGTTTTTTTTTGCGGTGGGTGGTGTTTGGTCTCATGCTTCAAGATCTAGTTCCACGCCATATTTAGTGCTAGGCCAGAGGAGATCTGAAGTACAGCTTCAATAATTCTGATGACATTAAGCTACATTATTCCACAGTGTCCACTGACCACAGTTTCTGAAATTGCTGTGGTCAACACTAAGTATATCAATTTGCCCACATTGACTGACAGAACAAAAGTATCTGCGAGCAGACGACAGTAGAAACTTCCTTTAAACATGATTGAAGTTGTAAGATTGTCTTGCAATCTTATATTCTATTCTTATTTCAAATTCTTTTGTTGTTTATATTGTCACATCTGTCACCAAAAATGGCAAAACGTGAAGAGAAAATGCAAGAATGTAATGAATTTAACAATATTTCTTTTAGTTTTATGTGAACATGTAGTGTGAAAATAGCACTGGTAGCTGCAAAGTTGATCTGAGGAGTAACATAAAATGTGTGGGGTCACTGACGATGGCTGCACTTGAGTTGGTTTTAACAAGAGACCCTATATTCAGTGCTACAGGCTGAAATCTGCTCAAGATACAAATAGATAGGAAAAAAGTATGGTTCTGTTATGCTGTTGTCCTAATAGTTCTGGACAGATAAAAATATTTAGACATCTGTGCCATTTTTTAAAAATGTACCCATTATGTTAGGAAACAAAAATGGTATTTAAGAAGCGAAGTTTACTTGAGACAGACCATTCCTACACTGTAATTTTGTTTTTGGCAAATTATTCTTTCAGTGGGCAAATAATTGTTATTTGAGTGGTTTCTTTGCAGTGTTTTAACCTCTTTGGTCATCAGAACATCTTCTTGCTCTTCCGTTTTCTTCACCATTATTGACTGAAGTACATAAACCTTTGATTGATCACAAAAAAGTGCTGCTTTCTTTCTTTTTTTGTTTTCTGTATTAACTTTCTCTGTGAGTTCTTTAACCTTTTCCACCTCAAGGTGGCAACAGCATTTCCACTACACATATGGCTAGCATATGGCTAGCATCCTAACAGGGAAATCAGTTGGCCTCAGCTCAAGTCTGTTTTCTGGATTAGTTGAGAAACAGTGGTAATCAAGTGGGTCATTGAAAGACCAAATCAAAGGGACCCAGTAGCAGGGGTTTAATATAAGCCTGTGGTCAAGCAGCTGGGCTCCTCTGTATTTATGATTTAGACAGCATGCATTAAGGGGCTTAGCTGTTTGTGGGTAAAAATTGTGCTTATAATAAATATGCACTGCCTGTATTATGAACTGTTCAACTGCTCATTCTCTGAGTGAGATAAAGGGGAAGAATGTCGGTACATCTTGGTGTATGTCAGGTGTAATGGCAGTATGTCAAGTGTTATATTGAAAGGCACATACAGCAAGTTGATTTGGGCACATACAGTGACTTACAGGAAATTCTTCCTTTCTTATCTTTCCTCAGGACATGTGCTAAAATCTACTCTGCGCCTGATGAAGTTAAGTAAGTAGAGTGCTTACTGTTCATCACAGCCTTACTTGCTCATTGTATGTTATGATCAGCCTTACCAAAGATCAGATGGCTCTTTAACTGACCTCTCTTTGCTCCCAGGAGACAAGAGATTTTGCACAGTAGCTGGATTATGTTCCTTTTGGCCAAAGGTAGGTTGTGTCATATTGATACCCCAGTGTTTTTTTGCAGTCCTCTGGTCATTTTCTCCCATTCTTAGAATGTTATTTATTAGTAATGTGATACTTTGTTATTACTAGTTGTGTTCCACTGAATGTCCATGTGAACAAGTTTTCCCCACTGCATATTTCCAGAGGATGTGTACCAGGATCGGTCAGTCCACACTTCAGTCTTATGTTTCATATCTTTGTTGTGCCTCCTTGATTGCACAGGAACTGTTCTGCAGATGGAAGATGACCTGGTGATAGCCTTCCAGTTACTTTTGTGTGTTTTGGAGTTCTGCACCAAGCGCTGCCCGTCCACTCTTCTTCAGCCTCTGTACAGTGAGTAAAATGTTTCTTTGTGTCAGGTTTAGGGATCAAGTATCACTCTGGTTATAAAACCTCATGTTTCTGTTAAGTCACTCCATCAGACTGTTCCGTTATTGTTATTATGATGATGTCTGCTTACAAGCAGATTTAAAGATTTAATTCCAACTGTAAATGTATGCCTAATAAATTTAACTAATATAAATTTCAGGGCTTGACATTAATGCTTGTTGGTTTGTCTGAGACAAGTGGGTCAAACAAGTGGACGATTAATTTACTTGTCTGATCGGACAAGCTAAGCTAATTTTTCGAAACCTCCGTAACCTGGCTGTTGGAAGGTGAAGCTCCAGAATAAGTCGATCCAAGGGGTGGTGCTGACATGTACGAGTCTAAGAGGGAAGAAACATTTATTTGCTCTTGGAGGGATTAGTTTGACTGGGTGAGCTACAATGAAGAACAAGGCATTTGCATTATCTGCCCCCAGTTTAGCTGAGATGTAAGTAGCTTCATTAGCTGCAAAAGTAACTATCAAACCACATGGCTATAAGTGTGCATTTCTGGATGAATTAATTTAATATATAATATATATAATGATAATATTATAATATACTATGATATTAATTCAGTGGATAAGTGATTTTTAGAATGATTTGTAAATGTGGATTTACTTGCCTGTAGGCCTTGTCTCAAAGATTCAATGTCAAGCCCTGAAGTTAAATGTGAAGTTTACACTGTTTGATACTTGAATCACACCTCCACTTTCTTTATTGTCAGAGTCAGCCATCAGTACAACAGCCCAGAGCCCTCCAACTCGGTCCTCTAGACGTAGCAAAGCCAAGGCTCGTCCCCCTGAGGTGGACGTGCAGTTGCTTGAGACACTCTGCAAGGAAAGCGACTGTAGTGTGGATGAGGTCAGAAAATCCATGCATATATTCAGTTATAGTGGACAGTTTTCAGTTTAGTGGACAACCTGAACATTTTGTATGTAAATATATATTCTGTATAAAGTGAATGTGTGTAAAAGTTTTAGTTTCCATTATAGACACAACTTGACATTCTCAAGATAAAATTTCTAGTTTCATGGATGTTTATACTAGGTGCACATCTTTGGAGTAATGTCTTACAAAATTAGAAAATTGCCAGAGTGCAGTAATCCTCTCTATGCTGCATCTTTTTCTGTTTCTTTGTCATGCCATTCTTAAACTTCAACAGGAGCCCATTGCTTAATCTCTAGGCCTGTTGTCCAGTTATTAAGCTTATGGTGTGCAACTATTATGAATTACACAGTAACTACAAGACTACAAAACGTCGGTGAAACTATACTGTGAAAGTGCTATGTAAGATATGTAGTTATGGGTGTGAGAACTGAAAAACAGAACAGTTTCTTAGAGTTTGATAAATTAAGTGGAGGGTAGTATGTGTTCCCTTCCTTTTTATCTATGTATCGTATCAAGTCTAGCCGAGGAAGAGTAAAATGATTATCTTGGCCACCAGAAGATTTCTGCAAGCTCAGTGCAGCAGATTTTTTCGTCTTAGATCTACAAGTGTCTAATGTGGTAAATATTTGATCTCATAGTTGCCTTTAAGATTTATTTTGATCACATTTACTCTTCTAACTGCAGGTGAAAAATGTGTACCAAAGCAGTTTCTGTGCCTTCTTGGATTCCATGAACTTGACAGGATCACAGGAGCTTCCAACTGTAAGGGCATCTATGGTCCTTGATGTTTAGTATGCTAAAGGAATTATTTTGTTCATGTGTTTTGCTTGCTAGTTACGTTGTGCGCTGCTTGCTGACTATATAAAATAGGTAGAGCATGTTTAACAGGCCATAAACCACTGAGAAGTGAAAATTCACTAACATTGCTCATCCTTTGTGATGGTCACTTTTCTGTGTATTTTTAGTTTTTAATAGTTGGGTGGAAAATTCAACTTGTGCCTTCTTGAGGAAGAGAATAAGGAAATGTGTTCTTTCTGCTTAACTGTACTTTAATTTCCTTTTACATTCGGATAGTTATGGGCTACCTAAATGAAGAGGTTTAATAGATGCTAAAGACTGCTTTTACTGCATGGTTTACAACATTACTTAACATTACTCTCGGATTCATGTTGCCTGTCAAATACCCATAAGCGTCTGAGAAATAGGTTTTGATTATGTGCAGTGATGAAAATTACCTGAAGTTAATATTTGCTTTGAGCTGAATTGTTACACCTGCTGATGAAAGTAGTGCAAGTTGAGTTTCTCTGTATTATCAGTTGCATGGCAACTATAAGTGCTTAGGGTGGCAAGTGATTACGTCCATCGTTTTATAGACACTCTGTTGCTTTTTACGAGAATCAACAATATTGCTGCTTACTCAACAAAATGTAATTGCGTGTGAAACCAGTCTTTTCTAAGAAATGCTGTAATTTTCTGTATTTGACCAATGTTTTAAAGCAGGCATTGGTGGACACTTTCTCCAATGAATATGAGAAACTATACCACAAAAACAAGGACTTTGATGCAAGACTCTTCTTGGTTGATGATGAGACACTCAGCTTAGGCAAAGTGAACACGTATGTATTAATCATAATTCTGTCTCTGGTGTTACAAAACCTATAAAAAATGACCATGGTATATTTTTAAAACCATATGCTTGCATTTATTAACATGTCAAATGTATATTGTACTTTTCTTGTAGTACAACTGTGGAGATGACCCCCAGAAAGAATCAGTCTGGTGAAGAGAGTGTTCCCATTCCACCACAGACCCCAATCAGGTAGGTGATGGTGTTTTATTAAGTAGTGTATTTTTTTTATTTATAGAAATTTTATGTATTTATTTTTTGAACTACAGTGTGGTAAACAATTCAACACACTATAAGTACTTTGGTCAGTGCTTTATTTGAAGGGCCTAGATCATGGAAAATTGGCTTTTCCTGTAAATACTGTTAAAAATTTAAAACGTAGCATTCGCTCCCCAGTTCCTACATTATGTGTTTTTATTAATTATATGGAAGCTAAGTTGCAGAAGCGTTTTGAATAGTTGTTTTTTGATGTCTCATATATCCACCTGTTCAGTGTACAGCAGGTTAACCGCAGCCGTTCACACCAATGTTATAGGGAGCGTTTCAGCTAAGACTGCTGATGAGGCACAATACAGAGCAGCCAGTTGGAACAGATGTCATTTGCATATTTCAACCCAAGATTTAATTCTTAAGGGAAAAAATGTGTTACTTCTTGTTAATAGCAGTGTTCATTGAAAGGAGGAGAAGATTTCCTTTTCTGAACAAGTTCTTATTTATTGAATATAACATTAATAAAGAACAATATAAATTAACACTGTATTCAGGCAGATTTAGTTTCAATTATGTGATAATTATATTTAGTCTTGATGAGAAACGGCAATATGTTTTGTTCGGCCTACTATATGATGTGACATTTTGTGGCTCTGGAATGCTGCAACTGGCTAAGAGGGTTGTGTCCTGTCACTCGGACCCAGATTAAATCCTTGAAATGTCACTTTTATAATATCTGTGGCTGGAAGAAATGACTTTCAAATAATTGGTGCTGTTCTCTTGGAGGGGAGGATGGCTTAATTTCTCGCCTGTTGATCTTCTTCTGGTGGTGATAAATAATGAGAGATTATCAAGATAAAATAAAAACAGACTAAATAAAGTTGTTATTAGCCCTGGTATCTATATGCATAAGCATAACACTTCACCAGATACCTCTTTTCTTTTTTGAACTATCTGTCTGTTTCTGAATGTAGACAGAATGAAAGTTAGTCAACTTCATTTACCTTCTCACATAATAGCCCTCACACTTTCTTTGGTGCATTTTCTTCTCTGTACTTCCCAAAATGAAAACCTATGATGGCCAAACATTTTATGTACTTTGTTTATTATGGTGTTTAAATACTTTATTCCTTCTGTTTTCCAGAGCTGCTATGTATTCGATACAGCAGCTGAGGGGTGAACTGACCTCGGCCAGTGATCAGCCTTCTGGCAATCTCATTGTTTACTTCAAGGTACACTTCTGACTAAAAGAGCATGAGTAGATTTTACGTCCTGTGGCCAACACTTGATTCCAGAAAATTTGCATCAAATATAATTGTTTCCAGAAGAGTTTAATATTTGTTAAGCTCCATTAATAATGAATATGCATTCCTTCCAGAACTGCACTGTAGACCCATCGGAAGAGATCACTAAGCGAGTAGAACAGCTGGGTCAGATCTTTTGCCAGAAATTTGCTGAAGCTGTTGGCCAGCGCTGTGAAGGCCTGGGCAAAGAGGTACCAAAACGATAATGCCAGATAATCTGCAATTTGAAGTTTGTGGAAAACAAGAAAACTTATATTGTTCTTTATGGTTTGCAGAGATTTACACTTGGTGTCCAGCTCTATTACAAAGTCATGGAGTCAATGCTGAAATCAGTGAGTATTAATGGATTCAAATATATTAATTTATGATTTCTCTTCTTTTTCATAACTGTCTTTCTAATGGCTGCAACATTGTTTTTAGGAGGAGAAGAGGCTCTCTGTGCAAAATTTCAGGTAAAAGTTTAAATCTTTATTACTAAAATTACATGTCAAAGAACTTTACAAGTATTTTAATATGAGCATGGCGAATCAGTGTCATGAAAGACTATTTTCTTTATAGAGACACTGAATTTTGACCTTTCCTTCACAGTAAACTCCTCAACAATGCTACATTCCATACCTCGCTCCTTGCCTGTGCACTCGAGGTTGTCATGGCAACCTATGTTGGTAAGCTTGGTTAAAGATACTTAATTCTTTATTTACTATAAGAACAGCGGACACAACCACAAGTTAATGCTTTTACTGAGCTTTGTTTTGGTACGAATGATCAGTTTGCTTGTCTGCAGTCACTGAGGATAAATTTGATCTTTCTTACAGAAAAATAGCATATTTGGTGCATTTCCTGTAAAACGAAATAATTTGCAGCCGTGCTTTAATTACCTATTTGATTGCCCACTCAAGGAAATTCCCTGAAGAATGGGAATGAAAATGGGAATGAGACTGACCTGTGCTTCCCCTGGATTCTGGACGTTTTCCAGCTTTATGCTTTTGACTTCTACAAAGTGATAGAGAGTTTTATCAAGGCAGAGCCCACCCTAAAGCACAATATGATTGAACACTTGGGCCGATGTGAGCAGCAGATCATGGAGAGCATTGCGTGGAAAGCGGTGAGTTGTATTAATTTACCCACTGCATGATGCATGTGTTATGCTGTGCTTAAAAATAATTTGAAAGCACTGACTGACTGTTTAGTGGCTTTTGAGGAGAAAATAAAAAGATACATAACATATTAGAATAGAGAAATGTAAATTGTCAGTGACCACTTGCTGTTGTCATTTCAGAATAGGTCTTTATGTAGGAATCAGCTTAAACCAACAGTTTCTCTGGTCGTGAAGGGTCTTAGGCCAGCAAGAATTGGAATTGACCTGTCCAGACTCTGCCCACAAATGCTTTGCACAGTTGGGCTTGTTGAATTGTAAATTTATAGCTCAAAAATATATTTTTAGCAAAATAGGAAAATGTATTTTTTTTATGTGTGTGAAAGGTCACACTTTTATGGCTGATCAGGTGTAGTTGTAATGTTAACGTGGTGGCGAAGTCGTTGTTTCTATGGCTGGAACAAATATTCAGTAAAAATTGATAATTAAAATATCCGAAAATTAAAAAGCACATGAAAGCACATGCTAACATGCGTTGTTTTTATCAGTGCAAAAGGAAAAAAAGTTTTATTTATGAAGCTAAATGCTAGCGAGTCACCATAAGCACACAGGGGCAGCACTTCTGAAGAGAGCAAAATAATCTGCCTGCACATTCACAAAAGACATTGTTTTATTGTTTGTCTTTTTTCCTGTCAGTCAGATGGTCCTTTCCCATCAAAGCTACAGCAAGATCTCTGCAGTAATCAAGGCTAGGGCTGTTGGGACTTCAGACCTAACTGTCTGTATTTGCGTTCTAATTTGAGGCAATTATATCAGCTTTAATTGCCCGTGTCGTCCTACTGCTCTGGTTTGTTAGCTTTCTAAGAATAAACATCAGGATTCTGGTTAGCAAGCCATCCAGCCAAGCTACCTTAACTGCACCAAGGCATTAAGACTGTACAGCTAGGTTTAGCACATGCCTGGATATAAACCGATTTTTGAGTGCCAGGAAAAAAAAACCTTCACGTAAAATCCAAATCATTATTACCCCCCTACTCACAACAAGAGTTGACCAAAAACCTGTTTTCAGTTTTTAAGGCATGATGTGGTTATAAGATATAAAGACACAGTTTTCTCTGCTCTCCTGCGCTGTTCATCACTCACATGTCTAAACAGGATTGCCAGATTGGGCAGGATACCCTGTTGTAGCACTTTATGCTACTTGCTGTTACAGTAATTGTCAGTGTTTTTCAGTTACCTTGTAGTATTTCAAGTTTCATTAATATGCAGTAACAATAACAGTAAATAATAATAAACTTTATAAATAATCTTTTTTTAATATAATCAATAAAGTGAAATGTATATATTGTTGTTATTCCTTCATAATATTTGAATATTTGCAATAATATTTGATAGAATATTCAAAAATGAAATGCATCCCTGGTTATTTCCAACCTGCCTAGTTCTGATTAACTTTGACAGCACAGCTCAGTAGCAATGTAAACTAAAAAATTCAATGTTATGCAGTGAATCAAAACTTACACAGTTTGATTAGGTTGAATTTTTGCCAACAGCTGTAAAGTCGGTCCAACCTCACAACATTTCGAGCATGGGTAGGAAAATTGGATACCCTCAAACATCCTTAAACATCCATTTAATGTTGTTGAATTCAGTCTGTCCTTTTCATGCTATTTTTCTTGAAATAATTCCAGTTTCACTGGCTGCCACTCCCCCTGTTGCCAGTAGCTTCTTTGTGCACTAAGCTGCTCGAGAAATAGTAGATGAGAGGGTTAAGGCAGCAGTTAGTGCTGGCTAGGGAGAGCACCACAGGGTGCAGTGCAGTAGTGACTTTAGCCAGGCTGCAGATGGGCCAGTCGCCCGTGTGAGTGAGTGTGTAGCCCAGCAGGTTGACATGGTACGGAACAAAGCAGAGCAGGAAGATCCCAAGCACCCAGTAGATGACTGTGAGGGTCCGTCGATGCTGTACTTTCCTGCGGTGGGCCAGCCTGCAGAGTACGCGCAGGATGCTGCAGTAGCTGAAGAGCAGCAGCAGTGCAGGCAGCAGGAAGGCCATCTGTACCACGCCCAGCGTGACCAGGATGAAGGCGCGGTGCCGCTGTGAGGAGGGGTCCAACAGGCAAGGCTGGTGACTCGGAGAGGCTGCAGAAAGCAGGAAGGGCAGAAACAAGCTTAAAGCCAACACCAGCAACCAGATGCCTGCACTGAGCATGCGGGCCGTCCGTACCCGCCTCAGCTGTTGCTGCAGAGGGTGCACCACTGCAACGTAGCGGTCTACCCCTATGCACACCAGAAAGAAGATGCCTCCATATAGGCTAATGTACTTGAGAGCAAAGGTCAGCTGACAGAAAGCTCTTCCAGGAGACCAGGCACCATTGCGGGACCTGTTGTAGTAGTAATAGATCCGCAGTGGAAGCGACACTATGAAGAAGAGGTCTACTGCTGCCAGGTTGGCCATGTAGACAGCAGTGCTTGTCAAGTTACGTGGAATGAGCCACAGGCGGCGGAGTGCCATGAGGTTGCTGGCCAAGCCGAAGCTGAAGATGAGGCTGTAGGAGATCTGGTAGTAGGAGAAACGGTAGCTAGTGTCCAGTGTGCAGTTGAATGACCTAAGCGTGATGGTCTTGTTCATCAGATCCATGGCTGTGTTACTGTTCTTCCTGTTTGTCTGCATCAGTCTAGTCACTTGTATTCTTCATCTCAGGGATGAATGACTAACTGTCTGTGGTCAGAGCCACAATGACTGAGCCGGTCAAACCAATCATACTGTTATCAAAGAAGTAGCATGGTAAACATAATTAAGTTTCCCCACTCTGTTGACTTCCAATATTTGTGCAGTGCAAGGGTGTAGGCGCCCTTTGGCCTTTTGTACAGCCAGCTGTGATTGTATTTAACGTCTAATTGGGTGTGTCAACTGCACTGCATGTGCTAGTGACTACAGTGTTTGACACACACAGCTTACTGAAGCAAGAGGAAATGTTCCATTTCAGTTACGACTTCCTCTCCTGTCTGAGCTGATTTCTTTTCTTTTTTTTTTCTTTTTTTCTTGACCTTATTATAGCTTGGAGAAGATGAATTTTCATATAGTGTGTTGGTTTAGAATATTGGCTTGTATTTCTCTCGAAAAAAAAAAATCAAACACATGAATTATCTAGGATTGGCCCAAACAACATTTTACAGGCTTTGAATTCTCAGTATTGTCAGTATTTCCAAACTAATGAAATATGCATTTCTTCAAAGCATCCTTGAAAACGGTGATATTTGACGTATTTTTAAATCATCTGTCTCATGAAACAGATACATTTCCACTTAATCCGTGTTTCAGATCATTTCAGAATGGCCCTCACAGTTCCCTAACTTGAAAAAGTCCCCAGATTGTTAAAAAATTTGTGAGTAGATTTTAAACACGCTGTATGTGCAAGACAGCCCAAGAGTATTACACAACTAGAAGCGTTCCGCAAGTGGGTGAAAATTCCTAAAACATGAACAGAAAGACTCCTAGCTGGCTGTGATATCTGCCTAAGGGGGAGATACTAAGTACTGACTTGGCAGGGTGTCCAAGGTTTTCCACATGCCACTATAACCATTTTTTTATCTATCTAAGTTATTCATGTTTAATTAACTGTTTCATTAATTAACTAATTTACTGTTTGAGATGTTTTTCTTTGGACAGTGATATATTTGACTGTTGTGACAATAACAGTACACTACTTTCTCTGCACTGAAAAGTATGCTTACACAGCTCCTGTGTTAATACTAATCCAACATATAAACACTGGATGCACAAACCATATGAGGTTCTTCGTGTAGTACTGCCATTTTCCAACTTCCTCTCCTGCTACTTTTATTGACTTAGACATCATATTTATTGTAGTGTACGTTTAGGGTCTGGTTGTCCTACATTTATTTCACAATAAAGTCTATTAAGATTACATTCTTTCTATCCTCGCTTTTAGTATAAAGATTATTAAACCATTTTTTTAAAAAATGCAGAGCTCATAAAACTTTCAGCTAGCTGAAACACACACAGCTGAATCACAGTTGCCTCAGTGAAAGAAAGTGCATTTAGGTTTACCACAGCATGTCTGAATAATTAAATGCCAAAATTGCATTTTGTATTCATTACTTAATATACGCAATAAATTAGATTACCAGTTTGCTTTGCTTCCATGTTGTGGGTATTGCCATTAGTCTGAGCTGGCTGACTAGTTGATGCTGCTCTGTGTTCACTGTCTGCCTGCATGTGTCTTTTGAAGGATATCTTATGAGCAAGCAAGCCCACATTTATGACCAAATATGCATGTATGTATGCAAACAAAGGTGTCCATCTGTTTGAGCTTCAGTTGAGGATTCTCTGCATACAGGTACAAATCCTCTGCTGTGTTACTGAAATATTGTTAATTGGTAACTTCTCAAGAAATTTTGATGAGATTTTGGCCAATTGATTGGCCTTCACTTGGCATCAGTTATGTAGTCGCATGCAAAAGTTTGAACACTTTTGGTCAAATGATGTTTTGTTGATTTTTCTAAGTGAAAAAATTAACACATCCTCACACACTCAAGACATGTGTCCACAAACTTTAATGGACGTTTTGTAAACATAACAAATGTGCTGTAATTTGTGCACATGCTAATTTTGTGTCTTGTTACATTTAACTGGGGAGCACCTAAACTAGTCCAGTTTTTTTGCACAACTTTACTCTTCCCCCATAAGCAGCCTTTGCTCACATCTGCAGCCTTTTGAGTAAAAACCTAATTGAGGTTTTGTCTAAAAGAGATGGAGATATCACATTTTATGCATGTTTTATATGTACTTTAGAACTTGAAATTTTGCACACTGCTAGGACATTTCTTCACATATTTCAGAGGAGGAATATGGGGCTGAATAGATCATTGAACAAATGGCAAGTTGCATGACAATATTTTTAATATAGTTTTACATGCTTTGCATGCTTTATTGCTGCTCTGTGATCCAGCCAGTAGGTTTTCTTTCTGTCTGAGGTTTCTGCCATCATCTGCCTTATTCTTTGCCCTGTAGCTATTCCTAGCTTTTGTAAGTAAAAAATAATTTTGGTGATTGTGACCTAGACAAAAAAGCTCTTCAAACTGTGTCCTGTAACAAATTGTAAAATATCAGTGTTACAAAGCACACATTACATCACAGTACAGTTTTTAATATTTAAAAAAATAATAAAATATTGACCAAAACATTTTTAATACATACAAAATCTGACGTCTGACAACCTCGACAACATGAAAATCTACAAATTTGATTGACTAAGTAGAAAACAAATAGCAAACATTGATCCAGTGCTATCAAAAAGCCTTGCAGTGAGATTTAAATAGATATCAACATGTAATGCTACTTCCTATGTTTAAGGTACGTTTTCAATATTCTTCCTGTTGTAAGATACATAAAATACGCAAAAACAAAACAAAAATGTATAAGATCATTTAAAACCATTATATTGTAGTAGCTGTTTTGTACAACAGTGACAGAAGTAGCTCAGTGGTCTTCAGAAGTAACACTGCACAAAATGTATATAGTATTTTAGTTAAATTCTCATATGCTTCACTCATCTTGTTAGTACTCATTAGAATATTGTTTCGCAGCAGAGGATTGCACATGCATTCGCTTTACAAGCACACCCTGCAAAAGATAGGTGTCTGAAGTGATAAGGAGTTTTTCCATCTAAATAAACGGATGTTTTGTGGTTGTGTGACCTTTTCATGTTGTATAACGTTTTGGTTTGCAAAGGCTTGAGGCTTTGTCTCACATGGATTTGATGACTGCATCGGAGTTATATCTTAAAGTTCTGTTGGAATTAGAAATGGCCTTTTTAGACATTTTGTGCTGTCTGAAGAACTGCATTTTTAAATGAACAGTATTCGAATATCCCAAGAAAATATTCTAGATTGTTTATAAATAACACGAAAAAAATGAAAGATTTAATGTCTTTGCTAATTGCACACTACAACAGGAGGTGATGCTGTATTTAAAAACACATTGTCCTTAACTTAGACACATCGGCGTGTTCAGTTAAGGATAACACATTTTGTGTTAAAAGTAACACAAAATGTGTTACAATGGATAACATGGCTAAGTATGTTATTTAACATATCAGTTTTTAGAGTGTAGGGGTCAGCAATATGGCAAAAAAATGTCAGTATTTGAGGACTTTTTCACAGTTCACAATATGCATCAGATTTAGTTTTTAAGGTCTGAAATATTGGAGCAGTGAAAGAGAACCTAGTAAGCTTGACTTTAAACACTGTGCTTCTTTCTTTATTATTCACATTAAAGGTGTGTCCAGCATATATTTGTGTAAGGTTAAGAAATATCCTATACATATACACAAGCATGTAGCATGTAGGAGTCTTATGTCAAACGCATGCCTTATTTATGTAAACGAATCTAAGATGGGTTTGGGTACCTGTGTATTTAATAACTATGGCCGTCCCTTGTAGCTATTACAAGCTTTTGATGTAGCTAATGAATAGAATTCTGAATGTTCTGCAGGAGTTGTGGCATTGATAGAAATTCATATTTATTCTTGGATTCCTTGTAGACAAGTGTTATAAGTCTTAAACAAACTTCTTGTGCTCTTAAAGCCAGAACTTTTAATGGCTGTTTTGAAATTATTGCAGTTGTTTGATCACATTAATAGCTGCACTACACAAAGGAACAAAATATGTAACGCTTAAGTTATACAGTCGAATGCAAAAGTTTGAGCACCCCTCGTCAAAAGACTTCCCCAAAGTGAAAATAAGTTTACAGTAGTTATCTTAATAGTAGTAGTTATCACCGGGAACTTAAATATGGCATTTAAATATGTTTGCACAATTTCTATTCATTTACTAAAATTCAGATATTGGAAAAAATATAAAATGTGCCATAACCTTTGCCCCTGTTTTTCCCCCCAATATGTTTAATCCACCAAATAAACAGTGATTGTGCATTAAAATGTGTAGAAGTGTGTTCTCCGTAGAGGTTTTGTAATTTTTAACTTCAAAAATCATTAAAAATATAATTTGACTGGGGCACCCAGACTTCTGCATATGACTATGTATTTGCTTATATTATTGCTTATAAGCATCAGACAATGCAAACACCACATAGGTGTGCAGTGAAAGAATTGCCTGGAGCATATTTTAATGACTTTATAGCCACATTGCATTTTTTGCAGCTTCAGCTCTCATCACTAAGCCTGACTCTAAACACTTTGCTTCTTTCTGTAGCATTCACCTTAAGGGTATGTCCGGCATATATTTGTGTAGCATAACGAAATCTCCAAAACATCTATCCACATGCATAAACCGTTCAAAAGTTTGGGATCACTTGTCTTCTTAATAATTCCTGTTAGTTTATTTAATAATAGCTTACAGTGTATACACAAATACTCTAAGGTGGACACCAGAATGTATGTTGAGATTTTTTTTTAAAACAAAAGTCATTAAATGATCTACAGTAATTATCATTTATAGTATTTTCATTAATAATTAATCTGCCTAACATTTTATCACCGCTTTTCAAAAAGGAGTTCATCATTCTGTTATTCTGGACGCATCTAAAGTTTCTTAATTTTTTACAGGTTCATACAAATGATCTGAAACCTATGAAGTAGAATGCGAACATCGTAATAAAATAATTGTATACATCTGTACAGCGGAATTGGAGTCCAAGCTTTTGAACATTTATAAATAAAACTGAAAAACATCACTGTAGAATGTTATCAGACCCTGTGATTGGCTTAAAGCTATTTTTTTGTAGTTCAACCTACAGTTAAAACAGTGGAATGGAAAGAGTGAAATATCCTATTTGGCATCGTCCTAACACAAACATGTGAACGCAGCATTACAAATTTTAAAAAATGAAGTGTAAGCTAGATCTCACGTGCAGATAATTATTATATCATTTTATATATATATATATATATATATATATATATATATATATATATATATATTATATAATATATATAAAATTACAAGTATCCAATTTTTTATAAATAATTATTAATCAGGTTTGATAACTTTGGTGTGACAAACATTTTCTCAGCAAATTTGATAAAAAAAAGAAAAAGAAAAAGAGAGAAAAAGTGTCACTTGTGGATACATATCTGTTAAATACTAAAATCTAGACTGTACCAATAGAATTGTAAGGGAGTACTTAAGATGGCATCCCTATTGTCATCATACTGATATACTGACACACAACATACATTTGTACAAGCGGTATTTGTTCAGTCAAAAACATAAAGTAAGCAAACATTTAAAAGACATTTGTTAACACTTCCATGGCACCACAATAAAAAATTAAGACAGAGAAGAATAGCCATTTCTCCCCCACTCTTCTGGCGGATGATTATCTGTTTCCTCATAATGTTGACTCATTGAAGAATTTCTCTCTTAAAGACTTGTTCGCTGACTCGGTTTCCGTGCCATCACAGTGCTTTACGCTGCTCTGAGCAGCATAAGACTTGCGCTTGATGGTGTTCTGAAAGGTTTCTGAGGTAAAGTAGTAAATAATCGGGTCAAAGCAGCAGTTGGTCACTGCAATGCAAAAGGCAATGGGGTAAAACATCTTGACTACTGTTTCCACGCTGCAGTTGTCGATGGTTTTACTCCGGACTAAAGTGTAAAAGACTAGATTGACATTATAAGGAATGAAACAAAAACAGAAGACGAGTAAATGCACCACGATCATTCGCAAGACCTTGGTCTTGTTTAGCTGCCCTTCATGTTTAGCGGTGTTGGGATTGCGTAGGATCCTAACAATCCTAATGGAGCAGAAAAGATTGATCAGAAGTGGAATCATAAAGCCCACCACCCCCATGAATGCTACTACTTTGGATAACGTGGACTTCCATTGGTCATTGCTGTACTTTTCAAAGCATTTGACAGAGGTATTGGTGGTGCTGTTGGTTCCTGATGTCTCTATTCGAAATCCTATCGAGAAGCTCCCTGACAGCACGAAGAGCCAGATTACACAGCAGGCGATTATTGCTTTTCTTTTAGTCCGCAGTGACCTGGAAGCAAATGGGTAAACGATTGCCAGAAAGCGATCTGCACAGATACAAGTGAGGAATAAGATGCTACTGTACATGTTTGTGTAGAATAGTGCAACTGAGATTTTGCAGAGTGCATCTGCAAATGGCCAGTGCTTGTTGATAAAATAGAAGATTCTGAAAGGGAGACTGAGTACAAAGAGCATATCAGATACAGCCAAGTTGAGCATATAAATGGTGGTCTCATTCCGTTGTTTGAGAGTGCAAGTGAATATGTACAAAGTCACCATGTTGAAGATCAGTCCTAGTATAAAGACCAGGCTGAAAACTGTGGCATATAAAATGTATTTAAAATCATCGTTGATGTTGCAGTTCTTCTCTGTGCTGCTGGCTGTCATCTTCACCTAAAGATAAAGTTGTCCCTTCACATAGGGACAAATAAGAAATAGGTGTAGTGGTTAGTTTTGTGATGTTCAATATAATTTATGAAGAGGAAAACATCTAAAATCACTCAGTTTCAAACATAATGTGTTCTTGGAGTTTTGTTAAATTGGTCTTGTCATAACTTCTGCCTTGTGCATGTTCTTGCTGAAGTACATATAAGCGCCTACCTTCTGTCCTGTTTTTTCATCTGGTTCAGTCTGCAGGAAATGACGCTGTAAACGTCTTTAAATCCATAATCTCAAATGATTCTTCTGTTTCCAGCATGGTCTTCATTTGGAGACTTTGTATCGGGCTTTGTTCTTGTTGCTTCCTCTTCTTTGCAGCAAAACGGTGAGCTGATCCTATTTAAGCCTGGCTTTTCTTTTTTGTTAGTGGCAGAGCTGGGTATGTTTCCATTCTTTTTGCCCCTTGGACATGTGAGCTTCAGCTGTTAGATCTTGCCATTTACTTTTCTGTGGTAGATTCTGTAGATTCATAATCGTACTGCAGCTCATTCCCCCACTCAGTGAATATCGAAATAACCCAGCCTGATAGACAGACAGGCTGAAATGCTTTTTGAGGGGAGGAGCTGCAGCACGTGACCTTCCCTTCAGTCTACACCTCATCGTTCTTCTTTTTGAAGTGTGTAACTACTGAACACTTACAGTGCTATTTATCATACAGGAAGCAGTTGACTTGGCCAATAGTCTTTGTACTTGTGGTGTATAGCATATCATATGACCTTATTCACACGTTTTATTTTATTTTTGCCCTTTCACCCACCTCATTTTTGCACATTACAGTACAGCAGTTGCGGTTTCTTACTCTTAAACCATGTGCTACAACAGAGCAAAAGAAGAACCGCTCCAAAGTTCACAGAGAAATAACCAGTCTGTGTAACCACATAACATGGCGTTTTACCCACTGTCACAGCACAGTTCTTTCCTGAATAGTGAAAAGCTCTGTAAACTGTTGGTCAACTATTTTACAGGGGATAGTGTCATGTCACTTAATAATTATTTATATGGGATTAACTAAATATTATAATTAAGACATGTAAAATGATGACAAAAAATTAATGACTGATGGCTTATTGTGTTAATTTAAGACAGGGTTAGGGTACATTATGATTTTATTAATGGTTTGTTTTCTAGTTGTTAGCAGCTAAACTTTTTTGGAGTGACTGTAATGCTTAAATCAAGTATGCAGTTTATCCAGATTTTGTGTCATAAACATTATAGACCTACAGTGGTAAAGTTACATTAACCCAGCCCCCCTGTTAAATGAATGCTATCCAAATAGTACTTTACTTACATGAATAGTACAAGTGACAGCAATGGGGTAATATCTGCAGAAACTTAGTTTTTACACAGGCTATCAGGACTTCTCAATCCAGATACTGGAGTACAAATAACTTGCTAGTTATTAACATTTACTCCCACATTAATTCCATTACATATTGGGCCTTGTGAGATAATAACTTTGTTGCTTTATGTGCCTAGGTGTGGTTACCAAAAGGGTAGTGTAAAGGTTAGGTAATTAGCACTTTAAGGAAGAAAAAGAGGAAATACTGACTATTTGATACATGGATGCAATTAAAGAGTTACTAAAGCCTCACAGTGATTTACTGAGGAAGTAGCCCAGAAGGATAATACACAGTGTACATCAGTGGTGTTTGAAGAATATTGATTCATTTATCTCAAGTGCAGATGACATTAAGTTTTTGTTTTTTCTTTTAGGATTCTCCTCTGTTTGAGCTCCTGAGGCAGTCTCGTGAGGAGGGGCCTGGTGAACAAGCGGAGCCTCCTGCCACTCTGAACCAGCCTCTACAGCACAACCACACTGCTGCTGATCTGTGAGTGTCTGAGTGGTCAGGGATTTGCGAAGGGGGGGCCAGTAGAGGAAAGTAATGTCTGTTCTGTGCCACAACATACTGCAGAGTTCTATTCTACTCCTTACTCCCCGTTTTTCTTCAGTCCTTGTATTGGTATGTCGTCATCAGATGCAACAATAACTATAGATTCAAAGTCATTTTAATTTTTTGGTTTGAAGATGTGGGTTATTTATGCTGGTATTGGATGCATCAGTAACTGGGAAGAGTAACGTTAGTAACGTTCATTAACATATGTGGCTTTTCTGAAGTCACTCAGTTTGTGCACAGATATGTTTGTTATAGTGTGAGTTTTGTCTTGGTTGTTTACATTGCTCATGTAAAGGCATATAATGCAGTCTAGCCAAATGAGTATCTTGAGTCACAACTTGACTGACAGATTTTTGTGGAGCCACACATGCTGAATTGCTGAAGATCCCACGTTATGATACTATGATATTATAATATGATACGCTTATATAATGCGCTTGAAAATGTGCCAACATTAACATCCGATACCACCTGATACCACGTGACGTATATGTAGAGAGATGTATTGTCCTATAGTGTACCTCACCGCCTAGTTTTAGTTTCAGTGCACAGTGTGACACAAATTAGCAAAGCTGCTATAGCATGGTTTCTCTACATGTTTATTCAGTATTTCCTCAGGTGTGCAGCATGTTATTTTGAATAAAACATCTTTTTTTATTGATAATTTTCCATAGACAGAGCAGTCTGTGGGGGCTGCGTTTCACACAGCATGTCAGCTCATTTTCATACGCTGTGAGCATATTAATCATAGACTTTGTCTTTGCACAATGGGCTATGCACATGGACAGTGAGAGTCACCAAAGAACAAGATTTCTAAAATCGTGCGGTGTATTTAGAGGGCATTCAACTGCACCTCAAATAGCCAAATGTCCAACAAAATGTAAAACTTGAAACAGGAGCTCTTTGGATGTGTTAGCCTTGGATGTGGTTACTGTTGTCACTGTTCTGTGCAAACTGTTGCTGAAGGAGACAGATGAGGGGATCAAAACTATGAAACATAACTACTTACATCTGTACAGTAGTGCTGTTCTGGCATGTAGCAAAACCCACTCTACCACTCCATGGTAACTAATGTAGCATAACTAGCTAATGCACTTCATTTAAAATCAGCTAGATTTTAATCATTTAATTGTGAAAATACATTGCGTTCATTTACCCTAACAAATGTTTGATCTAAGTAGGTTGCTCAGGGTCTGTCTGTATTGGCAAGTAATTAAAATGTGCAGTCTGAAAAAATGCCATTGATTCATCCCTGTCTAAAAGAAAACTTTGTGTTGATGAATTTTACACTTTGTGCTTCTCACTAGTCTTTTCATTGAAGCAAAACAGAACTGCACAGTATACAAATCAACATTCAGAATTCCCTACATTTGCATGTTTAAAAGTTGCTTTTATTTGTAAAGCAGAGAAACAGCATTTAAAAGAAGTTTTATCTTTACATATTTATCAAAGGGTTGAATCAAGAGCAATTTATAGTGGCAGGTGAAAGTAATACTAGGAATCCTGAGCAGTGAGTCTTATTGGTATGTTATAGTGGTGTTTCTGAGAACAGTGCAATTGAACCCTGTTCTCACATGTGCAGGGTGACCTTATGCTATCTTGAAACCACCTTATCTCAAGATTTCATATGGCCTCTACCTTGCTTACAAAAATGATAAAGATGTCAAATGGTACAAAAATGATAAAGTAGTAAATTTAATAGTGTTTTTTCCCTAAAGGAACGGCTCTGCAAAAAAAAAAAAAAATCACAATTTTGCATTTACCCCACATGTGGTTGATCAACCAGTGGATGTTTAGTGCCCAGTGTTTGCTTTTTTTTAGTTTTGTCCTGTAGCTTGAAGGCTCATGTAGATGAAAAATAATGGATGTCTGTGACCTGAAATCTTTTCTGTAAATTTATACAAACGCACTCACTTTAAGCTGCAGCCAGTTATATTTACATTTACTTTATAGCATTTGGTAGACACTCTCATCCAGATAAACTTTGTCTAATCACATTATAAAGGTAGGTGAATGTAACATTAGCCTTGCCCACAGATTCATAGTGGCACAGCGGTGGTGCTTCTCTTTCTGTGGGGTCAAGCTCCAGTCTCCTGTGTGCAGAGGAAAGAGCATTTGCTAAGAATGGCTCTTTTGGTAGTTGATGGTTCATGGCCAAAAACCATAGTTTACATGGTTCACCATCGCTAGGAAGTCTGTGGTCATGTTATAAACTCTTAGGTGAAAAGATGCAACACTCACTCTGTCCTCAGCAAAAGGGCAACTTTATTGGGTTAAAAACATGATGTTTTGGTGCTCATGCAGGGCTTTCATCACATATAAAAAACAACACAAAAGAGATCATAGCCTAACATTCTTTGGAAGTCAATATGTGAATTATTAAAAATATATGATTTGGGCATTTATTTATCTAAGAGATTTTGGATGATAGACTTCATTTACTTGTTAGCTACATTAGACTTGGAGCTCCAGTACGAATACAAAAAAAAACATTGGCGACTGAGGTGGAAAACTGTAAATTAGATTTTTTGTGAATGAGTTTGTGAGTGTTATTTTAGCAATAGAACACGAGAGGGAGTGTGCAAAATAACATCACGGCTGTGATTTGGTTGCAGGCACAAGCCGAAGCCGATAACACACGACCTTGAGTGTTCTAAGTGAGAAATAAATAAATTGGGCCGTGAACATGGCATTTAATAATTTAATGTCAGCAATTCCTTGTGCCAAATTATAGTTCCTTAACAAGCAGCTTGTTGCTACATCAGAGTAACGAGCTCCACTCACTCACTGTACAGCCGGCAGTTCGTTCTCCAGCTCCTTACACAGACAAACTAACAGTTTCGGAATTTAGTGTAATCTCATCTTCAGAGTCTGACTGTAGGCCAAATGTAATCTTAAAAGTGTCAATTTTCTGTTTGTGCGCAAAGTAAGAAGTAAAAATGTTCAAATGGCTTGAGCGTCTCCTACAGCTGTCAAACTTGTTGCTTAGCAACGGTGTCTCAGCGGAGTGATACAGTGTTTGTGGAAAAAAATGTGATGCTATGGCAAAATAACAGCACATTTAGAACGCTTCTCAACCAATCAGCTTGCGTGGCCGGAACTAACTGTTGTATAATAAAGAGATTCAAACTGTTTCTTATGGAACATTCCATTAGTGTCCTTTAATCAGGACATGTTATGCTGTGTATATACACACACACACACACACACACACACACACATCAAAAGAAAAAGTTACTGCAGAGGAATTGGCCTTTTTTGTCTTCTTTAGTCCCAAAACATTTTAAAACTCTGAACCTTGTTACTCTCCACAGTTTTAAGATGGCTAGCAAGCCACATCTTCTAATGTTCTCACTAGTTTGTGCTGTTGCAAGTGAATGGCTGGACTTTGCCTGTCTTGCAAGCAAAAAGGCACATAATGCTACCTTGTGTACTGAAGAAGCAGCTGTTTAAAGATTTTCTGCTTCCTTCTGTTAGTGATAAATTGAGGAGCAGAACAAGAGTTTAATCGAATGTAACAGTACCTCGAATGAAAAATAACGGAAATTATAACTCAAACTGAAACAGTCTTGATGTCGTTTTAGGCCTAATAACATCTTCTGCGAGGCTTGTCTCTCCGAGTAACCTTCCTGTATGACTTCTCAGCTGCGTTGTTGTTTGTGGTGTGATTCCTCCATGTGGATGTGTAGTATAGCTGTACTCTTGCTAAGTAGCTGTTTGCACTGGCTTTACACTAATCCTGCGCCTTCATGATGGGCTGTAAGTGTTCTCTATTTTGGTGTAAATTAGAAAGAAATTTGAAAGTGTATGTGAGTTTAAACCTATAATCATTATCAAAGAAAACTGTTAAAGTATGAATCAAGCATTGGCCACATGCAAAGATCAGGGCTGGTGCTTGGCCATCTTTTATTTGCGAAAGAACTGCTTCCCATTGTTTAACCATTAAAAGGAACCGGAAACTGTACCAGAAACTGTATTAGAAACTACTAAATTTAAGTGTGAAGAGTTTGACATTGTTGCCTATGCTGCTGGCTTGAAGAGATCCATCTGTGATGCTTTAAAAGTACTAATCATCTGAAATTTCAGTGACAGGCATGCCAGAACAATTTACAGGGACTCACTGAATAGTGAAAGTAAACACCTTTTGATAAAAAAATATATATAAACCTCACTGATATAAGTTAATACCAATCAAATTTCCTGAAATATTATTACAGCAAATATTGATGTTGTAACTGTTTCCTAACATGTTGAAGCTGAAAATATAAATTGGTCAAACTGGTGTTGATTTTCACAAATTAAATAAGCATTTGTGATAAATATATACATGAATAAATAAATAAAAATAAATACCCTTTAAACTTGAATATTGATTAGATTTAGGCTAGCTGCATCAACCATGAAGAATTATTTTTTTCCCCCAGCATGTGTCTTATTTTACTAAACATATATCTTTTAAACTGAACTTAAGAATGAATATTTAATTAAGTTTGTCATAATTCAGTTTAACATTTCTGGAGTGTGAATGATTATCTGCTGATTATTTTAGAAATGAAAGCTTTACATGTGGTCAGTGTTAACAGGATGTTGGTTAACAAATGCTCAGTCCTTTAATGAAGCGGCATGAAGATTTTGTTTAATAATAGAGACTTGTGGTTGGATTTGGAATTTCCTGATCTAGTCAACATTATCCTTTTTATCTCAATGATGAGACTATTAAAATGGCATGTCCTCTCTGATTATTTATCTCAGTTGTTAAATTGGGGCCAGCTGATTATTATCTAGATCTTTTGTTTAATGGGGAAAATACCAAACTAGATGTTTGTGTGGGTGTTTTGTTGTATGTAGTTATCTCTTTGTGTAAACAAAATATTATTGCAGTGACAGGAAAACGAGAAAGACTTGCTGGTTCTGATGAGATTTTTTTTGTTCTGTTTTGTCTTTTTAACAAGAAAAGTTTGATTTGGAAAACTACAGAAAGTATTTATGTTTAGAACCCTATGTATTTGAATTGAGTAATATAAATAGGACTTAAGCTTTCAAAGTAGGTTCAGTTAATAATGAATTACATGTAATACAGAGTAAGACAGTATTTGGGTATGAAGAATGTTAATGGATTCATTTTATGAGAAGATAGTCTACTCTTACCATTACTGCCTCTTTTCTCAGATACCTATCCCCACTGCGGCCCAGTCGTCAAGTCCTGGCTGCAGAGGTAGACACTTCAGCTGTGCCCTCGTCCCAGCCTCCTGTCCCAGGCATCAGACAACACCGTTCCAACTCTCTGAGCCTCTTCTACAAAAAACGTATGGCATCCCTGATCTTTTATAGCTTTTGACAAAATTGTCTTAATGGTTCAAATTCATGATATGCTGTAGAATATATTGTTCAGTTGGGTTTCTGAAACCAGGCCAGATGTGTAAGCTGTTGTCGTGATTGCCATTCAGCACTGATAGTAATCTCAGCACTGCTTCCTTTTCATCTTAATTTCAGTTCTATGCACTGGAGTCTCCTGAACATGGTGGTTCTGTAGTGCTTTTTTGTAACATGTTTTTACATATAGACATATAGTGCTAATAAGCATCAAATATAATAAGAAACAAGCCGACAACCTTGTTACCAAGCTATACCTTTATAGTCAGAAGAGAAAGGAGAAAGCAAGGGAAAAGAAGAGAGGTAATTGTCAGATTAAATGCAATCTCAGTTAAAGCATTCATGTTTTATTCTTAGCATCCATGAGACTGACGACAGAATCGTCCAAAGATTAATTGTGTACTCATTTTATAGGTAGTGTGCTGGCTGGACAAAATGTGACTTATCCTTGTATTTCCTGCATAAAATGTGAATGCAGCTTAGTGCACTGTGGAGCTCCATATGCATTCAGAGTGCAGCAAAATTCTTAAAAGAAACATAAGAGAAACGTTTGTCAGGAAGGCTAAATATTTCCTTTTAAGGACCAAATCATGGAAAAAAATGGCATTTTAAAATAAGAGTTTGATGTATTATAAACATGGTTAAAGTTCGTTCCCCAGTCCAGTTATGGAAACTGAGGTACAGAAATGGGTTGTTTTGAATTTAATGTTTTTGGGATTCCATGCAAACTAATGCATTTACATATATCTGCCTATTCAGCCTAACACAGTTTAGCCCTGCCCATTCATGTTGAAGTTATAAGGAGTGTTTCAGCCTGGACTGTTTCTTGAATGAGACCCAAAACAGTGCAGCCAATCAGAACAAAGGTCATTTGCATACATCAGTCTTTTGGTACTTAAAATACCTATAACTTCCTATTTAATTCCAAAATATTCGCATCATGGCGAATGATCGTGGAGAAATGCTGTTTTTTTTGTACATAAGATCAAGCAGTTTGTCACAGGTGGACATCGGGGGAAAAATGTAGGATATGGGTTCTTTAATGTCTGCAGTATTTTGACTTCAGTCAGAAATATGATCCCGTTATTCAAACTAAAGGAGAGAGATGACCTCATCAGCCGTCCTTAAAGTGTAATTTTGAAATGCCGAAAGGGGAGGGCGATTTTCAAGTGGTCCTTGCCTAATTCTCTACTTATCTGATTGTTGTTGATTCTTTTTGGTGTAGTATACAGAATGGCCTACCTGCGGCTGAAAATGCTTTTCTCACCCCTGCTGACTTCTCATCCTGAGCTGGAGCACATCATATGGACTTTACTTCAGCACACGCTCCAGAATGAGTATGAGCTCATGAAAGACAGACACCTAGACCAGGTATTACCTTTACTACTGCAGGTTAACATGAGTTGAAACTATTTTATATAAGCATTGGAGTGTGTAACTGTTAGAGATGGCACAATACCACTTCTCACTTTTCCACTTTTTTCAATACTGATGTGGGCCAAATGTGGGCCAAAAAAGATCTTATATTTATATAAGATCTATAACTAATCTATATAATCTATTAGTTATAGACTACATAGATTAGTTATAGATCAAATCATCTATAACTAAGCTATTATACTCAAACTACTCAAACACTCTCCTAACCCACACAAAAGAAATACACAGCTTACATCACATCATTCAGTGTGAATTAGTGCTGTTTCAGGCTAGATTTGTTACTGCATTGGATCGAATTCATTTTTTTCCCTTTGGGTATCTGATCCAGCATTTTCTGCTGATATTGGTCCAAACTGATGCCTGGTATTGGATTGGTGCCATCTCTAGTAACTTTAGAGATTTTGTCATAACTATAGATGGTGGAAAGTGGATGGTAAATTTAAAGGTATCTTGACTTCTTATTTTATTTCAGCTCATGATGTGCGCTATGTATGCCATATGCAAGGTAAAGAATGTGGATTTGCGCTTTAAGACGATTGTGACCGCATACAAAGAGCTTCCCAATACAAACCAGGAGGTGAGACCCGACTGCATTACAACTGTTTACACATTGGATTTAAATCAAGTGTTCAGGTGCCTTCTGTAATAAAGAAAACTATGTAAGTAATAAATTAAGAAAAACTGCATATTTTTTATTTTTAATTCTCTAGATCTTCAAGCGTGTTTTGATCAGAGAAGGCCAGTATGACTCCATCATTGTCTTCTACAACCTGGTGTTTATGCAGAAGTTGAAGACCAATATTCTGCAGTACTCCTCTCCTCGGGTGAGACGCGCTGTTTCAGCTTTTGCTTCCTCTTTCCATCTTATTCTGCACTCTGATGCCTCCTTGTGGTCTGAAACTACATTGTGAACATTGCTTTTTGCAAGTGCAGAAGCTTAGAAAATATATGTACTGTTAAAAATATTGTAATGCTTGTCTCCTAGCCACCTCCCCTGTCTCCTATACCTCATATCCCCCGGAGCCCATACAAATACCCCAGCTCTCCCCTGAGAGTGCCTGGCGGGAATGTCTACATCTCACCTTTGAAGAGCGGCCGCATGACTCCATCAGTCATGACTCCTCGATCTAGGTCAGTGCTCATACCTGTTCCAAAACTATTAACATTAACTGTTAACCATCATAACAACATTTGTGTGTTGATTCTTCAGTGCTCTATTTAAATACTACATAGATTGGTTTGGCTGAGAGAGAGAAAAATTCTCATAAATAACATTTTTAATGCCTGCTGCACCAGCCCTCAAATATAAAAAAGCCCAAAACTTGCTGCCTCTAGAATTTAAAGCGACTTCAGAAGAAATTTTCATTCATTTAAGCATAGGTGTGTGAATAAGCTCTGCCCAGACAGCATGCATGCATTGTCGTCCATGTTGACGATGGTTTCCATAGATGACTTTTTTTTTTCCCCTCCTCCAAGTGTTTTAAACATTCACACACCACGAAACGTCAATGCTTTCAGTCTTGTTGATGTATTCTTTATATTGAATGCATATTATGGCAGTTAGATGATGAAAAATGATCCATTATTTTGATCACATTATTTTGTATAGTTAATTATGATTAATCACATTTCTCTCATTTGCTCAGATTTGACCCTGAGGGAATATTCATCAGAATGTATTTGTTACTGTCAATAATTTAGTGACATTATTTTTATCATGTTCATGGTTCAGTGATCCTGAACTTTAAACATCAAGATTTTCTTAGAGTGAATACAGCTCTGTTTTAGCCTGGAACTATGGATGGTTTGAAGGGTAAAACTAGGAAAATGCGCTAACTGTATTAAAAAAAATTGTTGCTGCTGTTAATGTTTCACATTAACAGACTACTAATGTATTAACTTTGACAGTGCTATTAAACAATTACATAGTGTGTAATAAGTTGTATTTGCATATAATATTCCTTGTTGTGCTGCACTTGCACTCAGATGTCTGCTTGGGTATCAGTAAAGTACAACCATCTATTTATATTCATCCACCGTTTTCTTTCATAATTTTTCTTACAGGATCCTTGTATCAATCGGCGAATCGTTTGGGGTAAGTGATTTCATACCCGTGTGTCACAGTACATAATGCTACTGTTTTCTTACCCATGTGTCACAGTACACAGTGTTATTGTGCATAAAGTGCAATGTCTAACATTTCTTCCTTTGCCATGTTTATAGACATCGGACAAGTTCCAAAAGATCAATCAGATGGTTAGCAGCACTGATTGGTCCCTGAAGAGGAGGCTAGAAGGAGACTCCACCCCCAAACCCCTGAAACGATTACGCTTTGATGTGGATGGACAAGATGAGGCTGATGGGAGGTGGGCCACTCAGCCTTTCATTCACAAAGCTGTATTTATTTGAGTGTAACAAAAGACACCAGCTGTTATCGATGTTATTTATGATGAAGGTTGTTCTGTCTTTACAGTAAATCAAGTGGCGAGTCTACACTGATCCAGAAGCTGGCAGAAATGAGTAAGTTGCTCTGAGATTGACTCATCCAGGTTGTTGTTTCCCTTTCTTTTTTTTTCTATAGGACCTCAGCAGTTGCCTGACATGTTAAATACTGTGTCTTTTGTCTTGCATTCTCAGGCTCAGCTCGGAGCCGCATGCAGGAACAGAAACTGAAGGAGGAGGCTGAGAAAGAGGACCCCGAGCCCTGATAAGTGTGTTGCATCGTCGGAAGCGTGCATTCATTCTTTTCTTTTCTATTAACATGTTCACCAGTTTTAACTTTATCCTATGGGTCTCATTTTTCAAGTTACTTGAAGTATCTAAAGATACGTTTCAGAACACCAGAGAGAGTGAATACTAGTTAGCCCATCCACAAGCATATTACAAACAGATTTGAAGAGACAGTGTCATAGGTTTATAATTTTATAGGTTTACAATTTGGGGGTGATTTTCAGCTTTCCCTGGACCCCCCGTTTTGTTTTGTTTTTTTTTGTTTTGATTTTTGTTTTTGTTTTTTAAGTAAATGGTTGCCTTTAAAGGGTGTTATGCTGCCCGGTGACTTCTGAAGTGTTTTTTAATTATTATTTTTATTGTCAACGTTGATTAGTTCCTTAATGTCTCTTTTTTCTGTTCCGTGATTCAGTCTGACTGAAAACTTCAAGCATTATGTGAGAGCAGTGCATTATCAAGGTTTAAAGAGGGACATAATGTGTCTCAGGATAAATGATTATTTTAAGGGTTGTTGAAGAATTTTCTTTACATTTTTTTATAGCTTTTCAACATATTCATGGTAAATATGACATCATCTACAAGTCTGACTACTATATTACACGTATACATAAGCCATAATAAGCATAATCATGTATATGGTAAAGACAATATTGCTTTGTAATGGAAGGGGAAGACAGAAATATCCCTTGCACTCGTTGTGTAGCAGTGGTCTAGAGTTATTCTAATCTTTAGGCCTCTCCAAAGTATAGAATACCCCAATTGCCTTGAAATTCTTTCTATACTATGGACATTGTGGAAGCTTCTCAGAAACTGTATTTTTGTCCTGAAACATTGTTTGTGTGGTAGAATTAATGTATTCAGTGTTGGTTTTATGACATGAATGGGGAGTGTATGTGTTTGTGTGCGGGCGCATGTACGTGTATTTCTTTTTAATATATAACATTTTTAATTTGCTTCCTGGACAGAGCTTTTTGTCCTTTTTGTTATTGAACTGTTAGTTATTAGTATTAAGTTTATGTACTTCTGTCACTTTGTCAATCAGTTAATCTACAGAGGTTTGTTAATAACAGATTTAAGATTGTTATATTAATATGTATGACTGTCTTAAATGATTATCTTTTAGATAAAATAAACTATAAAAATATTGTAACGAGTGTTGTAAATGTATGCATTTGGAATAGTGCCCTGTTTTTTCTGAGCAGCTGCTTGATGCTTAGTAAAGGCAAATATCAATTACACACACAGACTATCAGTAGTATCTAGCTGCAGTCCCTGTTAGACCAAGACACAGCTTAGGTGAATGTTAACCATCTTGCTGTGTATCTAAAGTATTGGTGAATTCTTATTATTGATGACAGCTTGTCAAATAAATGAAACAGTTAACACTGTAGTTGTAGTAAATGAATTCTCCAGCCATGTTAGATGGATTCCACTGAATTTCCAAATTTCAGTTAGATGTAAGTCATTCAGGTTTGATATTAAATGGTGCATTGCAGAGAAACTTAGTGACTCAGATGTCTTTACATAGGTGATAAGAATCAAGGCTCCCAATGTCTTTCACGCAAATACAGCCAATTTATTTACTATTCAAAACCACCAGTGAACCTACACGTCTTCAGATTTTTTACATGTAATATTGATAATGGTAGAATAGTGGTAGAAAAAAAAGTTTTCCGTAATGACTGTTTTGCCTTACAGTGCCCTGCATGTACCTCCCCCTTTACTTTTAGTCCAAAATCTTATCGTGAAATAGTGTCTTGGGCATTAGCCAGTGTGTTGGTAGCCATTCTGTGTAACAACTTACTACTCAGTAGCTATTTGGGGTTTCTTATGTCTGGTTCCAGTCACCACTGTGAACAGTTTTTTTAATAGCCTTTCATACTAAATCTGACTATACTTACATCTCAGCGACTGAATCGTACAGAAAATGTAAATAATCAGTGGAATTCTCCCTTTAATGGCCATGTTGTTGGTTCATTAATTTTTCAGTCACATTAGCCAGTACAAACAATGCATTAAAAATGAATGGGTTACAGTCCCAGAGAACACAGAGTGAAATATTCAAAATGTTTTGTTTTTTTTTTTTACATTAAACATCCAGCAATGCTTTAATGAAAAATATAAGATATGATAAAACACCTTTACAAACCGCTGATCAGACCTACATTATATAGACAAAAGTATTGGGACACACCTCCTAATTATTGAGTTCAGGTGTTTCAGCCACACTCATTGCTAACAGGTGCATCAAATTAAGCACATAGCCTTGCAGACTCGAGAGACAAACACTGGCAGTGGAATGGGTTGTACTGATGAGCTCAGTGACTTTAAACGTAGCACTGTCATAGGATGCCACCTCTGCCACAAGTCAGATTGTTCACTTTGTCTTGCTAGATCTGCCCCTGTCAACTGTGGAGTGATAAGTCATGCGTCTCTATCTGGCAGTCTGATGGACAAGTCTTGGTTTGGCAAATGCCAGAAGAATATTACCTGCCTCTCTGCATTGTGCCAACTGTGAAGCTTGGTGGAGGAGGGATAATGCTATGGTGTTGTTTTTCAGGGGTTGGCCTAGACTCCTTAGTTCCAGTGAAGGGAAATCTTAATGCTTCAGCCAAGCATTTTGGACAATTCTATGCTTCCAGCTTTGTGTGAACAGTTTGGTGAAGACCCTTTTCCTGTTCCAGCATGAATGTGCCCCAGTGCACAAAGCAAAGTCCATAAAGGCATGATTGGGTGAGTTTGGTGTGAAAGAACTTGACTGGGCCACACAGAGCCCTGACCTCAACCCCATCGAACACCTTTGGGATGAACTAAAATGGAGATTGCAAGCCAGGTCAATAAGAAGCTCAGTAAGCTTCTCTGACTCTGAAACTGTTTTCTATGGGCCCCTCAGCCTTGTTATTGGTCAGGAGAATACTTACGGAAGCGTGACCCAAGATTAGAAGGTGCCCAGTTTACATCAGGAGGAGAGAAATATGGTGAAATATGTCATATTCTAAGCCTTCACACCTTATATAATAGCCTTCATTCTGACAGTAAAAAGCTGTATTGGAATTTTCTTTTTCTTCTTCTTGTTATTAGATATTTTTTACTTTAATTTTTTTTGTTTGATCATTGTCTCAAGATACAGATACTCAATTTCTGTCCTTTTTTTTTCCCCCTCTAATTCTCCACCTGTTCTACGTATTTCATACTATACTACTTCTTACATAGTATGTATTATATTATGACTAATGGTCATGTATTTTTTTTTTTCAGGAAAACAATAGGATATTGATCCAGTTAGGGCTGTTCAATATGACAATATAAATCGTTATCACGATAAATTATGCAGCAGTACAAACTGCTTTTCTAAAGATATTATTTATATCATCAGTACTTGTAGAACACTGACCTGTTTCATTATAAAGAGAGCAAATTAGTCCTTTTTAACTGGATTTAGTGCAACACTATGTCAAATGTAAAAAAAAAAAAATCATTGTATTCACAGTTTTTGATAGAATTTTTTAATGTAGCACTACTGATTCTTTTTTCTGTTCCAAAGAATCAGATGTCTGAAAAAATACATTTTGTAACATATTGTGTATCATGAAAACGTCTTAAAGTATCGTGATATATTTTTGCCATATCACCCACCTCTAGATTCAGTAGTATGACTTGCTTAAAGAAATCACATTTAACTTTATTACACGATGACTGCTGGGTTACCTGTTTAGTTCACCATTTTAGGGCACTAAACTTTGTGCTGAGATTGGAAATCATGGTTAATAAATAATGCATATACTTTGCCAGTCAGGACATGTTTGCAGCACATTAACATACTGAGAAACTTCCCTGGAAATTGGCATTTGAATTCTCCCTTTTGCTCTGTGTTCATTTTCTGGATGTGAAATGCAAGATCTGTTAGTTTAGCTTATGAGATGAACTTGTTTAGTCAAAGATGTATTTTTTATGAACATTTGCCTGGGCAGCTTGTTTTGTGAGCGGTGGCCTTTCCAATTATGGCTTTCAATAAGCAACCAAGAATCCCTGCATTAAAATAGCAGGATATTTCAAAAGCTGAAAGCTTGACTGATTTTTATTAGAAGTTTAACTCTACCTTACACCAGGGTCTCTGACCTTAAAAGAACAAACAAAAACACAAATTCTGCTTTGTTGCCAACAACAGTACTTCGGTCTAAACCTAGTTCTCTGTCCAGCCTGGGCATTTTCATGAAAGACTTTATAATCATTAAGGCTTTGGTTAAACACCAGTGATATCCCCCATAGAAAAACAACTTAAACCTTTTTAACATTATTTTTCTTAAATACAAATCATACTATTTCTATGGAGAGCAAAAACATTAGCTAAGAACGTTCTGGAAAATGAATCAAAATCTGGCTATTTGCGTGCTTACAAATATCACTGAGTTTGTTCATAAGAGGCCTAGACATGTTCTAAAAACTAAACCACACAGAACCCCCCCCCTCCTAAAATTTAATGGCACTTTTGTTGAAACTACCATTAACTAGTGACACAACATGCTGGAATCCAAACAAGCATTCCAACAAGGCAGAGACTACAAAGCGAATTGTCAAACGCTTGTAAGGACAACCACTAATGCGCCAGAAATACTAAACTAATTCTTTCATTGTGTGATCGTTCAGCGTCCAGTTACTCTTACATTAGATACATATATATTTAGATACCTAGCTCACAGTAAGTGGCTGACCTTAGCAGGCTGCTTAGCTGGCTATCAGGTAATGACCTTATATTCATGCTTAATTCTAACTAAACTGAGCCCACTGGCTGAAATATTCCACAGTACACATGAATAATCAAAAGATTAATTACATTTATTAGGCTACATAACCAAACAAATGCCATAAAAGTTGGAAGGAAATGAACACAGAACAGTCATTACCATGGAGACTGGGTGGGCGGATGCTGCTGCAGCACCGTGAATTTCCATTGGCTGAATGGGCTGTAGGTTAAACTTAAAGCGTGTTCGACCAAGACTTCACTTTATGCACACATACTATAGAACAGAGTAAAACAACTATACACGGATTCGCTGTGAAAATAGTTACCTGTGTTTTTGCCGTCTAAGCTAGATCTCTGTTCTGTCTTGACTTTACTCCTGGTACAGGGGATCCAGTGCATTCCAGCACCTGCCCATGATGCTTGAAGCATTTTGCATGAGAATCAAGATAATTTTTTTGCATTCCATCATTTGTCATACCACCACCTTTCACGTCAACAAATCATCAGCAAAGAAAGTGAGACCGTGAAGATATGCCCAACCCATATCGCTGCATCCCTCTAACTTCGCAGAATGAATAATATGCTTTGTATTTTGGGCAGTTTCCTTTTTTCAGTACTCTCTAGTTCCCCTCTGGAAAGTACAGGTTAATGTTTGGTTTGTTAGTCCATGAAGTTAAATGAAAGCCACCACCAGGATCCTTTACGTTCTTACACATCTGAAGATGTAGCCTTTGATCTTTTAAAATGTCGCTCTTGCATGTGGTATTCTTTGACACATTTTAGCTTATTCTCTGGAAATGTCCCTTCTGGCCTGGAGCATTTCTCTTCAAGTTGAAAGGGTTTGTTATTCATCCACATCCTGTAGCTGAGTTGCTCAGTAATTTGTTGTGCACCATGAGGCAAGTTTTACATACGCTATCAAGTGAAACTATTTAAAAACTTCAAAAATGCTGATTTCATCTTTACATAGAACTTGACACAAGTGTTCATATGAGTTTAGTAATTCCTTAATGAAACAGCCCAACTCACTGGGATGAAACATTTAGTCAAAAAGAATATAGGAAAGTATGGGCAACTTGCTGATATCATATTTCATAAAGTAATCAGGCAAACTAGTTGAAGTCCTTTTAGGATGGATCGTTTCTGTGGTGTGGGTGAGTCTAATGTGTTTTTACATTTGAATACCTGGCTGCATAATCACTCAGAGCATATGTAAACTGGAGAATGTATTCATGCAAAGTCAGCAGAAGACTATAGCCTCTGAAGTTTATTCATTCAAATGTAGTTCACTGTATGTGTGCATCCCCTTGCTGAAGCCTTGTAAGTGTTATTAGGACAGCTTTTAGTGTATCACAGCAATTTACCATGATCTAGGTCAAAAAACTGGTGAGTCAGCGGTTAAGACTGTAGGAGTTACGTCTGCTATTGTCATCACGAATGGAGATCTTCAAAGTGTGTGACAGGAAATGGAAGACAAAGACTTAAGAATAATATCTGAAGTTTGAGGAACTATTTTCGAGTTCTTAAAACAGCTCGCAAGGTTGATAATAAGTCTGTAAGCTTTACAGAGACGACACAGAGTTGCTTTTGGGACCTGCCGAACTCCCTCCCCTGAACTCCCTCCCCTGTGTGATGTTCCCTTATATGCCCTTTTCCCAGGTAAGAGGTTTAGTCACTGGCACTGAGGGGGGAAATGCATGCCCTGACAAAGGTGTTTCTCTTCAGCCCGCCCTCTCCTCCCAAACTCGTCTACCCAACACAATTCTTATCTCATTTTGAGATGCAGCTCAAGAAGTCTACACTTCCTTCTACCTGACTGGATAATCTACCACTCTGCTGAGCTGGAAAAAAAAAAAAGGTAATTACTATCTATTTTTGTCTTCATATGCCACTCATAGTGTTACCTGAAATCAGATGTTTGCTTCTGTTTAGTGTTAGATACAATGCCATGCTCACTGTCAGTGTTTATGTTGACTACCTTATCCAGCAACAGCCCATTACCTTACTGTCATAGGTGTCGCAGCATGTTTAAGCAGAACCCAGGTGGCTGGTTAGAAATAATTATGTACAACTAACACTAGAAATAAAACTCTTTTGGAACAAGGTGACAGTTTGGCAGGAGTTTGTTACACCTTTACATGATTTTAATTTTAAAGATACCTTTTTAATACTGGTTAATACTCTTTTACTCTACTCTTTCTCCCTGAGTTGTCATGTTGCCTTTTTAATGACCTTTTCAATGATCTTTTCCTGTCTTTGTTTTTTCCCCAATGTTCTGCTTTAATCTTGACCTGTGATCCCAAGAGGTGACATGAATTCGTCATGTAACTGCACCATTGATGACTTCAAACGCTCTGTGTTTCCCGCCGTCTACCTGCTGATTTTCATCCTGGGCATTGCAGGCCACTCAGTCTCGATCTACGTCTTCTTCAGAGTGTGGAAGAAGAAGAGGAGCCTGACCTCAGTTAACCTGTTCATGGTGAACCTGCTGGTGTCTGACCTGATGCAGGTATGCTCTTTGCCCTTCAGAGCCTTCTACTTCCTGTCCAACTCCCACTGGCCTTTTGGCAACGTGGCCTGCCGCCTCATATTCTACGTCTTCTATCTGAACATGTATAGCTCCATCTACTTCTTGGTGGCTCTCAACATCATGCGCTACCTGGCTCTGGTGCATCCGTACCGCTTCTTGCGCCTGCAGAGCTGCTGCCGTGGACCCCTGGTTTGCTGTCTCATCTGGCTGTTTGTGGCGCTGGCCTCCAGTCCTCTACTGTTGGCGTCGACCAAAAAAGGGGCAGAAAAATGCCTCGAGCTAACAAGCGGAAATGCAACGGTCATCAGGACTCTAATCATTATCAACGACGCTACTCTGGCGGTGGGCTTTGTCCTGCCACTGGCAATCATCTTGTGGTGCTCCGTCTTTGTAGTACACAGACTGCTGAAGCCTAGTCCAGTGCACCGCACAGTCCAGACTTCTCGGAAGAAGGCCTGTGCTCTGGTCATCATCAGCCTAGGATTCTACCTCATCTGCTTTCTGCCTTACCATATAGTGCGCACGCTCTTCTTACACGCAGAGTTGGACGTGGCAAACAACAAAGGGTGTGAAAATTCCTGTGAATTCATCCAAGGGATGCGTAAAGCTGCAGTGGTGTCCCTTTGTTTGGGCACAGCCAACAGCTGCCTGGACCCCATCCTTTTCTTCTTCGTGGGGGAGAATTTCAGAACTTTCTTTGCCAAGATGCTGAGAAGAGAGAAAGCAGACACTGATAACAGAAGGAGAAGCCAGCAGAGGGCAGAGTTGCAGGTCTTGAGTTCCTGAGATGATGCCCTTGGTGTATCTAATATGGGACAAGTGCACAATTCTTTTCTAACAGGAAACAAAACTGTGGTTATTTTGTATTCATAGGTCCCCAAAACGTCCCCCCAGTGCATAGGAGGCATGAGCAAAGTGAGACTTCCTGCACATGACAGCTGCATCCCTCAGATCTCCAAAGCTAATGTCATCAGTAGTGTTATTTTCTATATAAGTTGTCCTCGAACCAGTCCTCAGGGGCCCCCCAGACGGTCCACATTTTTGCTTTATCCCTATGTGTTGCCGCTTGAAAACCACTGTTCTATGCACACAGTTGTCATAACTGTATAACTGTGTGCAAAAATACATGCTACTGTAAACTAAATTGTAACTTGTAAAGGATTATTGTTGACAAAAGCAGTGTTGATGAATATAAAGGATAACCAACAAGGGAGCTTAATCTCCAGGTGCTGGAATTCAGCAGGACATCTGTCTTGATTGTATCTTTTTATTGGGAAACAGGTAAAACTTTTTATAAGCAAATTATATGACTGATAACTGATCTCAAGATGGACTGTAAGCCAAAGGGAAATCGGATAGGCCAGACTGTAATAACACAACATGCATTACAACCCGCACAGCGTCCTGAAGATTCCTGCCATGAAGTGCAAGAAGTTTGTGTGGACTTGCTGCAACAATGATGCTCTGTTGTGATATAGGAGAAACCTGACTGAAAGAGAGATGCTGTTGCTGGCGCTAGCACAGAAACAATGGCAAACAGCCTGTCTCCTCCCCCAGAACATAATCAGACAGTCTGTGTCAAAATGCAGCTTCCTCTTTCATTTCATCCATAAATGGAAGTGTTGTTGACACATCACAGTAAACCTCAAACCGTTGTCTTCACTCTCCAGCCCCTCCCTTTTGTCAGCAGCGTAATCCATATGCTCACCATTGCTGTCCGCTATCCACTTGCTTAATAGTTAATAGTATAGAAGCAGCCTGGATCTCTTTGGTCTTCGTGGTCATCAGTTATGTGACTGTATTTGTGACTTCGTGGTCACCAACAAATAAATGCTCGCAGCACTTCTCGAACTATTTACTGAATGTAGCATAAAACACAGAGCAGTAGTACAAATCTGATATAACGTCTAGCCCTCAGTGTTGGAAGTGCTAAAAGAGCCAGCGCTAAATATAACTTGCTCATCGACAAGGGCTGGCAAGTTTTTCCCGCCTGTATTCCGACACGCCCCGCCTCCTGCGTTAGCGTAGGCTACATGGCTACACGGCTCTGCATGGCTCTGCTGCTAGCCAACCTTAGCGCTGCAGGACTGCTCGTGCTAGCCAATCATAACTCAAGAGAAGAGATACTACTAGCCAATCCTAGCGCAGGGGCGGGGCTTGTCGGAATACGGGCGGGAAACAAACCAGCGCTTGAGAGGAGCGCTTGTGAGTAAAGTAGAGCTGCAGGAGAGTTCAGTAGAACTCTCAAAAGACGGTGGAGGGGAAGATGGAGGTAAGCAACAACAAATCGAAATGGTTTAATCTTTGTTGACCTTTTCTTTCTTTCATCGAATGAGTTGTTTTCATTTTGCCACCTTGCAGTATAAGCCATGGTTGTGCAGTAGGAACCTCTCACTGTTATGATTAGGCATCAGCTGCTTTTAGAAGTACCTCTGTCTGTGACTTTATGGACAAGAATCTAGTTTGTTTATTATAATCCATAGAGAATAAGCACATTCAACTGAATCCTTAAGATAAAAGTGTTATAGTTTTTTTGTTGTTTTTCCCACATATACTTGCAATGTCCATTGAGTTGGCAGAGTTGATTTAAAATGTATATATATGTATATTGCAACAACCACAGTTTTAAGCAATATTATTTGGCATAGAGTAGAATGAAATAGTTTTTTTTCTGTAATACTATAAACATATCACCATATGTCTTCTTTTGAACTGATGTGCCTATTTACAATCGCATGTGCTGACCTGCACAACAAAGTCATTTTAAGATGTCTGAGGGGAGTGGAAATACAGGCCACTCTGATGGACCCCCAACATGGCCGTGACAGATTTCTTTAACACCTGTCACACTTCTGTGTGTCCGCATCTCTTACGTCTTCCTCGAGCCAATATCAAAACGAGAGGCTTTTTACAGGCCTTCTTCGCTTTGTTAGGCCTGTTTGTTATGCGCTGTCGTGTCAACTTGTCAAAGTCTGGTAGAGGAGCAGCAACACTTGACTCCACTAACATGCCTCTTAAGTTAGAGGAAAGTATGGCTGGAATTGCAGCATTGCTAACTGTCACAGGAAGTGGTGTAACCTCATCCGCGCAACAGATTAAAATGGCGGGCTCATATGATGCACTTCTGAAAGTGTGTCTGAGTGTATGCCATGGAAAATGTGTAAAATAACGTTAGGTGCATATGTGTGAGCCCCTCTATGAAGTGGATGTCACTAAAATGCAAATATCAGCCACCCTACAAAACAACAGAGAAAAAACAGGTGCTTTTCTCAGGGCACCAGTGTGAGGTGGTAAACAGTTTTTGGCTTGACCTCGATAGATCTGCCTGTTAGTATCTTCACTCATCGCTGGCTCTGATCACCTATTGAAGTTGAAGATGCAATAAGGTGCATTTTTCTTTACATGACATTTATAGTGATATTCATATGCCTCAAATTAAAGAGGTATTGATTGTTTACAATTGAAGCAAACTTATGCCAGGTTTGATAAGAACATTCACAACTATGACTTTAAGAGCTGTGCTCTTGATGCTACAAGACAATAGTACGTTTTGCTACTGCTTTACTTTTGTTTTCATCAAAATGTACTTATCATGTGTAACCAGTGACTGCAAAGCTGCAAATAGTGACTCTTAAAAATGGTTCTTCAAGGGTTCTTTAGTAAAAAAAATGGTCAATCAAAGAACCCTTTCCATGAATAAAGGATTCTTTGCATTGTGGTTCTTCAGATTGATGGAGATTGTCTTATAAATGGGTCTATATAGAGCCTTTTTGAAAAGGTTTCTATATAGGGCCAAAAAGGGTGCTGCTATTGTTATGATGTCAGGCTTGTTACAATAGAAGAATCTTTTTTGATGCAGTTCTATATAGAACCATTTTCTTCACTAAGGAACCATTTTTAAGTGTGTACCTTTTGGCGTCTATAAGATTTACATCTACATTGTGTGCATGCTTATATATAAAATAACAGAAATTACATATAACGAGTGAGTTTTTGAATGGTAGTATGTATGTATATATGTGTAACAGTACTGTATGCAAACACATTTCATTTCAAAATGCTGTGTATCCATTACAAGAGGCTTGAAGAGAATCATAGCTGACATGTAACACACTTTGTGAAAAAACACATTTTGTTCTTTAATAAAAGCAATATTAATCATGATAAAGCACTGATATTTCTTGAATATGTAAAGCCGTCTCCCAACAATGTATATCATCAAAACAGGAAAATTCAAGAGGCATTTCATGTGTTTTAGAACAAAGCCTGTGATATGAGTGTGCAAAAATCAGAGAAAATTACACAGAAGCCTCAACAACAAAATATATTATACATTTTTCGGAAGATTTACTTTCAGTTTTTTTAAAGAAATCTGCAGATATTTATCCACACCTCCAAAGTTCAGTCTTGGAAATATATATCGCTGCTGTCAGAACAAAACCTTGTATGTCCAAAATGGTAACTTTACAGGAGAAGGAAAAAACATACTTTTTCTTTTAGTGTGATCTATGGAACCAGACGTTTTTCCCAGTCATTCTGGGCCATTTCATTTGGTTCATTCATCATGAAATTTACACACAATATAAAGGCAAAGGTTATTTTCAAATTATGTAAAAAAAACTGAAAAACAATGGAGATACAAGGTTTTGTTCTGACAGCAGCGAGATATAATGCATATATATATATATATATATATATATATATATATATATATATATATATATATATAATCTAATAAAATATGCATGGCAGCATACATGCAATATAAGCTATATAGACTATATTTCTGTACAGTAGATCAACATACTACAAACAAATTAATGTAACAGATACAAACTGAATGACTGTCATTGTGTCTCCAGCTGCTTACAGAGTTCCCTGATGCACTCTAGAGTTAATTGCCTTTACCATGTCGAGTGTGAATAATATGATTTTGAGCAAGCTCATTTGTGAACTACTTTGTGGCTTCATAAGTGGTTCTGCTATTATCATCAGCATCAGCTGTTTGTTGCTTGTAAATACCACAGGAGAATTAGGGGTAGCTCTCACCTTCATTACACAATTATGGCCTGTTTTAAATTCATAAAAATAAAATAAACATTGTTAGATAGTGAAATGACCGATTTCCAGTGAAAAATGGATCAGTGAAATGTGACAAGTAGATTCATGCGGTTGTGAATTTTATCACTGATCATCTCTGATGGCTGGTTCAGAGTGATGATGTAAGAGGACCAGTTTCTGAAGAAGCCTTTATGACACTAAAACTACAGTAAAAATTCTTGAACCCTCACAGTCATGAGACAAAGTTAACTTCCTTTTAACCCCCTAAATACTAAAGGCTCACACTTCAGCTCCTCACTCTCATAACTGCATTATATACGTTAATTTTGATAGATAGTTGTTACTGAATAATAAGGCTTAAAGAGCCCTTATCCTATATTTTTTGTATTTCATCATTTTTTCTGATGCTCGCTTCTGATATTTGTGAGGTTTTGTGTACCAAAAAAAGTTGTAGTTTTGTGACTGTACTTTTAAGACTGATGTATGTAAATGAACGCTGTTCTGATTGGCTGCCCTGTATTGCGTTTCATTCAAAAAGCAGAATGGACTGTAAAAACTCGAATAGGCGGATGTAAATGTGACTTCACAAAAACAATTAATTCAAAACAGGCTGGTTTTGCAGCTCATTTCCATATAAGGAATGTATGGACTAGAGAGTGAATGGTTCGCTTTAGAACTTTAATACTGTTTACATGCTGCATCAAACTATTTTATTTTAAAAAAGCAAGAAAAACTTTTTTCCATAATAAAAATACTGTAAGGTTAATATCTGGAAACTAGGCTCAGTTTTAAAGGCGTTAATTTAAGTTAATTTAAGCATCATCACCAGGCCATGCTGTCAAACACTTTGACCCAATAACTATGTGTTCCAATAGCTAATCACAGCATGAGCTGACGTCTGGTGCCCTGCTGTGATCTTCAGGCTGGGTGCTTTGAGGGGTGTGTATGTGCTTTCCTGGCTGTGTGAGTTCATTATCTCCTGAATGTCAGCTATGTGGAAACTCTGGCAGAGCAGAGTTATTGTCAGTCCCACCTCAGCAGCTGTCCCAGGACCAGGCCACAGTGCCTGCGCAGGCCACAGCCACACAGAATGCAGAGATGAAAGAGAGGAGAAAAGAATGTGGACACAGCTAATTACAGCAAATCCTGCTCTGTCAAAAGTAAAGGACTCAAAACACCACAACTGGGGGCAAATTGAAGAAGTCATATACTTGTGAAATAGTTAAATTAGAGATTTGAAAAATCCTCATTTGGTCATCTGTTCCTTAAAATGGCATTTCAGTTCACCTTGACAGGAAAACAGTCCCATATAGAGTTTCACGTATGCTTAGATCTTTTATTGGGTCTCTAGCTTTGGAGGGTATTTTGCATTTACAGTCAGAGACTACCCTTCATTTATTTCATTTGCAGCCAAAATGGCAATTAAGTGCAAGTTATTCTTTTTCTTTTTTGAAAATGTCTGAAAGGATGTACAGCTTTCACAAAGCCTTTACTGAGAACAGGACATTTTAAAATCTTTTACAAATCGAACCGACTGCTGCTGGTGTTCTCAGAACAATTCACTGACCACCCTGGAGTCCAGATGTCAATATCACTTGTGAAATTGCTAATTGCAAAAAGCAGAAAATGCAACCAACTTCTAAGACTGAACTTTGGAGCTGTGGAAAAATGTCCCTGAAGATTTCTTTGAAAAACTGAAATCAAGTTTCCTGAAAAGAATGAAAGCTGTACTGATGAGGAATTAATAACCAGTAATTAATGTCCAAATTGACAGAAAAAAATGAGGGGTAACTTTTGCCCAGTACTGTGCCTCTGTGAGGTTAATTAAAGTGTGGATTTAGTGCAAAAAAAGGTTTAGTGGTTTTATAGTCAAATGTGACCCACTGCAATGCTGTGCAGATACTTGTCATAAAATTACATTTAAAATACCTGGACTGACTAAATACCTAACACTCACCCTAACCTTGACCTCAACCCAAAACCTCAACCTCAACCTGCTACTAATCCCAGCCCTAACCCTAACACTACTGAGTATCCCAGATAGTTTGTTAATAATTTATGACTCTGTAGACCGTAAGACCAAATAGCATGTGATGATTCATATGTGATGTATAGCCCATCTTCAGTTACAGATGCTTTAGAGGACATAAATGAGCAAAACATTTAGTTTCCTGTGAACAGTAACAAGGTTTGTGGCCACTAGACTTGTAT